TACAGGCTAATTCTATGTATTTTTTATCCTTTTACTCTGAAATTGTGATGTTTTATAATGTATTTATATATTTTTTTTATTCGAATTATCCTATATCATGTAAATGATCTTTCAGGATAAATAAATTATTATTATTATTATTATCCCAGATTTAGTCATACGGCTCACACTCCCTCTAAGGGGAAAATTCACTCATCCCAGATACCTACGGTATCAAAAGAATTGAGCTCTGGTGGGACTCTTTCCGTGTTATCGAGCCCCAGGTGACTTGGTATGTTGGAGTATCTCCAGCATATCCATCCAGCATTTCCATGGAAAGCTGGAGTACAGCTTTCTGCATGGTCTTATAAAGATGTTCATTTAGACCCAGCTGTTTTATGTTCGCTAGGAGGTTTTTGGGAATAACACCAGTAGTAGATAGAACAATAGGTACTGTCTGGGTACTTTCCAATCTCCATTGTCTCTTGATTTGTATTTCTTGATCTCTAAACTTGGCGATCTTTTCGTTGTATTTAACACACAAATTGTTAGTATTAGGTATCGCCACATCAATAAGTGTTGTTTGCCTGGTAATTTTATTCACTAGTATGAGATCCGGTCTATTATGGGCCACTGGTTGGTCTGTGAGTACAGTGCGGTCCCAATGTAGCTTGTAGTTGTCATTTTCAAGCATTCTGTCAGGGACATATTGATAATAAGGAAGATGGTCGGTTTGGAGAAGTTAAAGTTTGTCAGCTAGTTCTTGGTGGATAATCTTTCCTACTGAGTCATGGCGTTCTTTATAATCGGTACCGACAAATGCCTGGCAACCACCGATAAGATGTTGGATGGTTTCTTGGGCTTGGCATTCATATCGGCATTTGTCATTTTGGACTTGAGGATCTTTAACAATATACTTTAGGTAATTTTTAGTTGGTTAGTTATTACTATTATCCCAGATTTAGCCATACGGCTCACACTCCCTCTAAGGATAAAATTCACTCATCCCAGATACCTACGGTATCAAAAGGATTGAGCTCTGGTGGGACTCTTTCCATGTTATCGAGTCCTAGGTGACTTGGTACGTCGGTGTATCTCTTAAAAATTTTTGCACGCATCTGGACGTCGAAAGTAGCACAGCTTTCTGCATGACCTTATATAGATGTTCATTTAGACCCAGCTTTTTTATGTTTTCTAGGAGGTTCTTCGGAATGACTCCAGTGGTAGAAAGAATAATAGGTATCGTCTGGCTACTCTCCATTCTCCATTGTCTTCTTATTTGTATTTCCAGATCTCTGTACTTGGCGATCTTTTCGTTGTACTTAACACCCAGATTATTGTTGTAAGGTATCGCCACATCGATTAGAGTTGTTTGTTAGTTTATTAACTAGTACGAGATCTGGTCTATTATGTGCTACAGTTTGGTCTGTGAGCACAGTGCGATCCCAGTATAGCTTGTAGTTGTCATTCTCAAGCATACTCTCAGGAACGTATTGATAATATGAGAGATGGTTTGTTTGTAGAAGTCCAGTTTAAAAGCTATCTCTTGATGAAGGATCTTCCCTACTGAGTCATGCCCTTCCTTATATTCAGTTTCAGCAAATGACTGGCAGCCTCCGGTAAGATATTGGATAGTTTCTTGGGCTTGACATCCATATCGGCATTTGTCGTTTTGGATCTGAGGGTCATTGACGATATATTTCAGGTAATTTTTGGTTGGTATAACCTGATCCTGAATGCCAAGTAATGAACCTTCTGTTTCAGGGAACATCTTTCCTGATGTCAGCCAATAGTTCGACGCTATATTGTCAACATAGTTTGACTGACTTCATTCGGAGGTCGCCTGTGCAGAGATTTACCCATCCAGATGCGCATTTTTTCTTTCTTAGTAAGATGGTTTATGCGCATTTCTTGTTTCCTCATTTTGATCGGTGTTGTGTCATCTACTGCGCAAATCGCGCGATGAAGAGTAGATGTCTCCGCCTGCACCTGAAAATAAGTTCTTAAATTAATAATCTGTTTATCTAAATGCTCACTTATATCAATAAGTCCTCGTCCTCCTAAATACCGCGGTAATGTCGTTCTTTCTACTGCACTTTGAGGATGGTGTTTTTGTGCCTTTGTGAGGTGTGTTCGTACTTTTCTCTGAAGAGTTTCTATATCCGTTTTAGTCCACTTAATAATCCCGAATGAGTAGCTAAGCGCGGAAAATGCGTAGGTGTTTAATGCCTTAAACAAATTTTTACTATTAAGATGTGAGCGGAATAGCTGTTTTACCCTTCGCATGAACTCTGATGTTAATTCGATTTTCATTTGTTTATGATCAATTTTCCGCGCTTGCTTTACTGCTAGATATTTATACATATCATTTTCGCCCATAGCCTCGATGTTTTGGCCATTTTGCATATCGAATCCCCCGGACTGAACCTTTCCCTTGACTATATTTAGTACACGACATTTGTCGTACCCAAAGTGCATACTGATATCATTTGAAAAAGTTTCTACAGTTTTTAACATTTGATCTAAGTGATGTCGACTGAAAACCATTAGTTTTAAATCATCCATATACGGATGGTGTTCTGCAATAATAGTCTAAGCCATATATACATGGTTCAGAGTAAATGAGCATATTGTGTCTACCTACTCTAAGAAATTCACTGATAGAAAATAAGGCTTTATTTTCACATTTTTATATTTCAATAACTACAGGCTATCTAAAAAAACGTACAAAAGCAAAATAAGTAAAATCAGTTTATTGCCAAAATAACTTAAAGCGCCTTAGACGGTTTTTGCAAAATTGTAAAAATATAAATGGTTATTTTGCAATAACCGTCTATCCCTCCCAAATGGTAAATATACAAAAAACTTTGAATTCGAGTTCATTAGTAAAAGTAAGTAACTGTTACTCATTAAATTCCTACTTGATTTAATTTTAATCAATCTCGAAGTCAGGATTTAACTTAATTCCTTCCAAATCATATCTTTAATATTCCTATCATATTCTTAGAACATTTTGCTGAACAGAATTTTGATTATCAAGCAAAGGTTCCAATATTTTATATAATGAACAACTGGTTTCGTTATTTGATAAATGCAATTTTTTGTCGGCATTTATGGCACCAACATTCGAGTAATCGCAAAACATATTATGTTCTTCTCGGTACACTATCTGCGATAAAAGGAATTTAAAAATTTCTTAAATCAATTGCCGAACTAACAACACAGAAAATTCACAGTTTTAAATAATATACTTTCGTATTTTACCATTAAAGATAAATCCGCTAGTTTGGTGCAATTTTATTTTTTAAATAAAATTGTAATATTAGTGTAATAATAAATTTCTCGTCTTTTAATAAGTCAAAATAAAGATTTGTTCAATTTAATATTTTGCACCTGGTGCACACAATGAAAAGACCCTTACAAAGATTTGCAACAAGCGTCTAACCCACATATTTATAATGAAAACATGGGTTAGACTATTTTTACAAATTTCTGTTTTCATATTATTTGACGAATGTGGTTTAGAACTTAGTTCACAAACGCCTCCATGAGTATGGATATGGCTTATATCATTTTTGCTTGATGTAGTATGCATTATGATCGACAGTTTGACACGTCTAACCTCATTTGTAAACATTTGTGGGTTAGACGGTTGTTGCAAAACACCGTCCGCTTCGCCACTACAGTGTTGTTGTTTTTAATGCTAAAACCTGAGTCAGTGGAGTTCAATAGCTGGGATAGTGGGTTCATCGCTAGACAGAACCACAAGGAACTCAGCGAGTCTCCTTGGAATAGGCCTCGGTTAATTGCGATATTTTCCGTTTCGATATTGTTTTCACCAGGTATTTGGAGGTGAATTTTAGTCTTCCAATCTGTCATTCGGTAATTTGAAGTTGTTAATAGTGGTTTGAGGATTAAAAGAACTCATTCTTTTGCTAAATGTAATAACTTTGGAGTTTAGCAGACCCCAGACCTATAACTATAAATGGTAGTGAGACAGAATAAGTCCAGGAATATATCTACCTAGCCAAATCCTGAAACTTGACAAAGAGTACCAAAATGACGAAAATGTGCGAAAATGACTAGAAGACTAGCATGAGCAGGAATTGGAAAACTTAGTTGGATACTTAAGAACTGCAAAATACTTGAGCAAAGTGTTCAACCAATGCATCCTTCCTATCATGACATATGGATGTCAAACCTGGACCCTTACCAAGGCAAACATGGATAAACTGGCCACAACAGGAAGAACAATGGAAAGAGCAATGTTAGGTATACGACTGTCAGATAAAAAAAGGAACGACTGGGTAAGATCAAAAACAAAAGTCAAGGGTAAAACAACAAAAATTGCCAAACTTAAATGGAGCTTTGCTCCACGCCAATACACGGCTAGACAGAAAGACCAACGTTGGAATACTACAATACAACATTGGAGACCTTATGAAAGTAAACGACCAAGAGGAAGACCACAGATGAGATCGGTTGATGACATTAAAAGAATAGCTGGAACGAATTGGAAATATGTTGCTCAGGATAGAGACCGATGAAAGGAGTTGGGAGAGGCCTATGTCCAAACATGGACGATAGAAGGCTAAGAAGAAGAAGAAGAAGATTGTATGTGTTCAAGGCGCGGATAGTATCCGTCGCAGTTCCATTGTAAAATAGTGAATTTATTAACTAATTTAGGTAGTATAAAGAATATACCTTGTACCAATTACGTGATTTCTTGGAAACATTCAAACTACTTTAGTATAAATGTTTTTAAGTAAAAACTAATTGGGGGTCCGAATTTGGCGCCTTTCCTATATCCTTTGATTTCTGAAATATTTTCATTGAATATATATTTATTTACAATTAGCCTGTACATATTATAACATTCCTGGATTTATTTTAAATACGTAAATCTATATAGGAAACGGTAGACCAAGTATCATGATAATCTATCGACGTGCTACCGGCTAGTTATCGGTTTTTGCCTATATTATGTACATATAAATAACCCAAAATGCAAAAACGGGACTGCAGTTTCGTTGCATATTGCCATTCTTCAAGTTCTTGACAGATTACAGGTAAGTGACGAATAATTTTTCTTTTCTGAGGTTTTTATTTGTGTGATATATATATATATATATATATATATATATATATATATATATATATATATATTTATATATTTTTTTTTTTTCCAATTGTAAAAGTTAGTCTTATTTTAAGTAGTTTTGACTTTTACATTCTTTGGATATTGTTTACTGTTTCACTGTTTGTTCTTTTATGACTCCTAAAATATTTGGTTTTCTCCAGTTTTTGTTTCCATTTTGGTGGGTAATTTATGCTTCAATTTAACTATTAACAAAAAATTATATCTTATTTTTTTCTAAATTAACTTGTTTCTAAGGTCTATTATAGCTCCTTTGTATTTGCTTTCTATAAATACAAGATATATCTGATTTCCCTAATTTCAATTTGCAGACTTCTATCTTCTTCTTTAAATGACATCTCCGCGGCGGAGGTCCAGTTTTATCATTGATGTTGCATTTAAGGTCCAAGATTCCATTCCATAAAATAAAGTCGAAAAAATATAGCACCTCGCCAAGTATTGGCCATTTATGTTAATATTCCGGTTTTTCCATTGTAATTTCCTCATAACGTCTTCCAAAACTAAATTGAATAGTTTGAGTGATATAGTGTCACCCTGTCTGACTCCTCGCCGTATCTTAATAGGCTCCGTTTGTTTAACTATTTTAATGGATGTTGTTGCTTGATCATATATATTGGAAATTATGTCTGTATATCTATAGTCTATTCTCCCATTTTGTAAAGAGTTCCTTACTGCCCAATACTCCACCTTATCGAATGCTTTTTCAAAATCGTTAAATGCCATATACATTTGGATTTGATATTCGTTGGACTTTTCAATTAATATTTTTATCGTAAGCAGATGGTCGCTTGTACAACCGGCTTGCTCTCTTGACTGGTAATTATCTAACTTACTTGTTAATCTGTTTGGTAGTAGTTTAGTTAACAGTTTGTACATTACATTAAGTAGCGTTATGGGCCTATAGTTTTTCAGATCTTTTCTATCGCCTTTTTTAAATAGTAATAGTGATATTGTCTCGTTCCATGTGGTGGGCGTTTGGTTTGTGTTCAATATTTTATTCATTAGTACATAAAGGACTTCCACTGTAGTTTTCCCACCATTTTTTTAGCATTTCCACAGTCATTCTATCTTTCCCAGGAGATTTGTTATTCTTCATTTCTTCGAGTGCCTTTTTTATTTCATTTTTACTGATTTCTGGTTGTAGGCCAGAGTTAACGTTCTTTATTTTCAGTTTGAAAACTAACTGATTACGGATTTCTCGGGTTGGTTTTTGTTCTGTTTTATAGAGATTTGTATAATATTCGTGCGCTATCTGTAAGCGCTATTATTAAGAGGCTTAAACTAGAATATCTTGGACATATAATCAGAGGACCAAGATATGAGTTCCTTCGGCTAATTATCAACGGTAAAATCGAAGGAAAGAAATGGATAGGACCAAAGAAACTCTCTTGGTTGAGGAATTTGCGGCAGTGGACAGGTTTGACAGCGGACCAATTGCTACACGTAGCGCAAGACCGAGATCAGTATAATAATATTATAAGCATGGTAGTCGCCGATGTTCCGTAGGGATATGGCACTCTAAGAAGAAGATCTGTAAAATGTCTTTTATATTGTTGGTCTCTACTCCTCCTTTGTTCTTTATGCTATTAATTTGTATGTTTCCCAGGTTCTGCTTTAAGCACTTCATGTTTCTATTTTTTTCAATTGTTTTCTCCATCTTTTTTTCCTGTACTCTCCGTTTACACTCCTTGATATTTTTTCTAATAGTTTTGTTTATTTCTTTGTACTCCATTTTATTTCTGTCCCCTAATCTAGTAATGTTCTTCTTGTGTTTATAAGAATCTTTGTTTCCTAGGATATGAAACTTTCTTTTTTTGTTGTTGTCTGTGCTATTTCTTTACCCACTTTCATTAGAGTTTTAGTAAATATTATGTTTATTTCATCGATATGTTTGTGTTCTATATGGCACTCGTAACTTTAACATCATACTATTTAATACCATATAATGTAAGCTAAATTTAAACAAACAATTTTTAACGGGTTTTTACACAGATATTTAGTGGCTCAATACATGTACACCTAGACACTGAGGATGGAATATGGATTCCGAAAACGTTTTGTGAATATAGTCCGATTGGGTTTTTAAATTATTACATTTTATAAAGGATTTTTTAATAAATTTTTTTTCTTTAAAAATATCTGCTCTTAGAAGCATTAGTATTTTCTGATGATCTGCTGAAACTATGAGATCTGATGATTTTAGTTGCGAGTTTGCAACTCTTTTATACTCTTTCCTGGCAGTAATATATTTATTTCTGTGAGATACATAGTTTTCACACACTACACAGTTGTCAGTTGGATTATTATGATTGGCTTCGGTCTTATGGAGATCATATAGATTAGAATTCTATAAAATTTAGTGGAACGTATAATACGACGCAGTACTATACAATAGTACAGTACAATTTCAATTTATTTTAGTTCAGGAGCCGAAACAATATTATCACAAAAATGACAATTTTTCCAAACTTTGAAGATCGGTAAAACCCTTAAGATATATTTTTATTTTATTTTTAAAAATACTGTGATAATCATTGGCACTTACATAAATTTTAAGAGGTCTTGCATTAAATAATGTTTTATATTTAGTTCAGGATGCGAAATTAAGTATAGTGGAATATTACCATAAAAATAAAAATTTGTCAAAACTTTAAAGTTTGGTAAAACCCTAAAGATATATTGTTATAATTTTTTTAAATTATTGTGATAATTTACAACCAATTGCCCCAATTTCAAGAGCTCTTGTATTAAACAAAAATAAAAAGCGATTTTTCGGGACAACTGTACTCGTTTTGAATTTTTTCTTTCATTTTAGATTCACCTTCGAAAAATGAATGCAAAGGAGAGTTTAACTTTGCTATTTGACAGACCTGGAGAACCACTGTCACTACCAAAGGGAAAGGAAGGCGTCCGATTTCTTGTTCCTAGTCAGTATATGGTAAGTTAGAATACTTAATTAACACTTTTTTAATTATTGGATCTGTTTTGCTATTTATTTTATTATATCTGTGGCTTGGTTCTAAAAGGGCCAATGTCAAAAACAGTGCTTTTGAGATATTTAAGTTGAAAGATTTACATACAATTGTGAGTTGAGTTGTAGACCCATTTCACATTATTGGAAATTGCCGTTACGTGAATTATTAACAAGTAAATGATTTTTACAGATAGACTAAAATGTTCAATATTTTTCAATTCTTTCTTGAAAAAAAAAACTGACATCGGCCCTTTTACCAACAGAAAAAAAAAATAATTTTTCATTAACTTTGGCTCTTATTCGATTATATCAGATACAATGAAATTTACAATAAAATTTAAAGTTTTATTTAAAAAAACGGGTGTGACAGTCCAGTGGGACTGCCGGTAGAAGTTATACTTCTATATACGCGTTCGCCGTTACAAATTTTTATGGGAGTCAATCTTTACAATTTTTACATATGTAATGCTATAGGTAAAAGAGAGCAGAAAGAGACACAGAATTAGGTATATAGGTATATGGTGCATCGTTTTCTATATATAAGCAACATTTGATCTGTAACAGGAGTATAGTAAATGAAGGATTGAATCAATATTTTGATGAAAATGTATATTTTTATTTTCATATATGTATAAATGGAGTTGAATGCAAAATAATTTTTTTACACATACCTACTCTGCAGTAAATTCATTGTTTATTTTGTTATTATTATAAAAATACAATCTTCTTCTTCTTCAGATGCAAATCCACTAATGGATGTTAGCGATCACATTTTCCATTAATTCTCTATTTCTTGCAATATGTATCAGAGTTTGTATGTCGTTAATCCCTGTCCATTGCCTTATGTTTCGGAGCCAGGACATTTTCTTGCGTCCTATTCCTCTCTTGCCTTCAATTTTACCTACGATTATAAGTTGAAGGAACTGGTATTTTTCATTTCGCATGATGTGACCTAGATACGCCGTTTTCCTTTTCTTGATGGTTTCAAAAAGTTGGCGTTCTTGGTTTATTCTTTTAAGGACATCTATATTTGTGATTTTCGCTATCCATGGTATTTTTAGGATACGGCGATAAAGCCACATTTCGAAAGTAATATACTGCAACATAAATCACAATACAATTGGACAATACACTGCAACATAATTCAATATGGTAATAATAAAATGCAATATTCATAAGTATTTTAAAATGACAATATACATAACTTACGAATATATTTAATTTACCATGATAATAATACTAATAAAATAAAAATATTGTTTTGTAATACAATTTGTCTGACATTGACAGATTCAAAATTTAAATGTTGTTTGTTGTGTTTATAAGTACACATTTGAACTTTTTTGAGATATTTACAAGTTTTAATTTATATAACAATAATACACTGAAAACTTTGTTTTCAAACTTCCACAAAATTTATTTTAAATCTTATCACTACAGCTGTTTCGGCTGATTGCCATTCTCAAGTGATCTATTTTTGTCTTGGGTTTACAAATTTATAGTCTCTAATGAAATAGGTTGAGGAGGAGAGAATTGTTTGTCTCAAGTTGCTCATTCAGAATTATATCTGTGTTTTTTAATTTATTGATTTCCATAGATTCTAACAAAGATAGCTTAAGGCCTTTATCAAGAAGGTGAAGTGCGTATGTCGAATCTGTTTTTCTATTCTTGACAGCCCTTTTATGTTCTGCTATTCTTTTATCAAAGTTTCTACCAGTTTGACCGATGTAAGTTTTTGGGCAGTCGCCACATTAAAGTTTGTAGACACCACTATTTAAGTGTTTTTTATTTTGGCTCTTGTTATTTTTAATATATTTGCCTAGGTTGTTTTTTGTTCAAAAAGCTGGTGTTATTCCTTTCTTTTTTATGTGTTTGGCAATTTTTGTTGTTATTTTGCCTGTATATGTAATCGAGCAGAAGGTACTGGGTACTCAGGGTAAATTTCTTCAGCAACTAAAAAAAAAATACTTCCCATAGTGCATTCTGCTGCATGTTGCACAATCAAATTTAGGGAATGGGCTGCACATGATACGTATTTTGACAAACTAGTCCTAGATTTTATTCGGGCTTGGAGACCGCTATAAACGCCAGATATATTATTCGCATTGTCATACGATTGTCCCCTGCAGTCATCGATATTTATATTCAGGTTGGACAAAATTTTTGCAATGCTGGCTTTTATATATTTGGCTTTGTGGCCAGTGTTGTCTAAAAACTGTATAAACCTCTCGACAGATGTTTCGGTGTCTGAGCAATACCTAATAATGAATGTCAGTTGATATGTACATGTTATATCAGGCGTAGAGTCAATATTGATTGAATAATATTTGCCACAATAAATTTGTTTTACAATTTCTTCTAAAATGTGATCCGAAAGCAATTCTTCTTCTTCTCATGCCACTCCTAGCGGAGATTGAAAATCATCATGGCCACTGCGACTTTGTTAGCAGCGCGCCTAAAAGGTTCAATCGAACTACACCCGAACCATTCACGTAGATTACGAAGCCACGATATTTTTCTTTTTCCCACACTTCTTTTGCCCTTAATTTTGCCCTGCATAATGTTTCTTAAAAGTTCGTACTTTTCACCTCTCACAATGTGCCCCAAGTATTCCATCTTTCTAGTAATTTCGCATCTTTTGTCTAAAGTTTGGAGTACTTGCGTGTTAGTGACGCGGTCCATCCATGATATTCTAAGAATGCGCCTATAGCACCACATCTCGAAAGCTTCGATGTTTTTTATGGTCAACTGTTTTAGTGTCCAAGCCTCAACTCCATATAACAGGGTAGAAAAGACATAACACCGCAGCATTCGTATTCGTAACTTTATATTGATATCACGATTGCAAAAGAGTTTGCGCATTCTATTAAAGACTGACCTAGCGATTTCTATTCTACATCTAATCTCTTTTGTTTGATCAAACAAACAAACAAAAGAAAGCACTTGCAAAAATTCAAAACAAACCGCTTTTGATAAATAAGATACTGAACGACAGCCTTTTAAAGCATATTTTTCAATATGTTCTTTTAAAAGAGTATCATATTCCCCAACAACTCTAGTAATCCAATGTAGTTGCCAGTGCTAGTAGAACCAAATTTTTTGTCGGTTCCTATAAAAGGTAGTCCCTACTAGCTAAGAATTTTATGACACTGCCGACTCTTTGTAATATGTTTCGCCAATATGTGGTTCATGTTCAATCTGTTGCCGCAGAGAATCATCGATCTTTCTCATACTTAATGAATTATTTGAAATAAAATTTTTAAGATGTTCTAAATGAGCGACTGAATTTTCATGACTATCACATTTTTCTTTAGCCTTTTTCCAGTCGTCAACCCCAGTAAAAAAGAAAAAAGTGCAATTTTCGCTTGAAAAGAGTCGACAATATAAGCAAAATAAAAACCTGTGCTTTTGGAATAAACTAACCAGTCACACCGAATTTTTTCACCATTCGTAAAATAGTTTCGAAACACAATTCAGATTTCTGCTTTTATCTGTGCTTTCTAAAAATTGCAAAGCAAAACAGACGTTGATAAAGGTGTTAAAAGAGACGTGGGGAATCTAAAATTTGCATTCCACGACACATCTTTTCAACTAAGCAGAAATCCTTAGCGAATTGGTTTCTAGTACTCGTACAGAGTAAATCCGAAAAAAAGTGAAAAAGACAGCAAATATTTGATTTCACGCAAACAGCGCCTTTGTATCTGTTGATACGTATTTCGACCTAATATCGTCGTGGAATGCAAATTTTAGATTCCCCACGTCTCTTTTAACACCTTTATCAACGTCTGTTTTGCTTTGCAATTTTTAGAAAGCACAGATAAAAGCAGAAATCTGAATTGTGTTTCGAAACTATTTTACGATTGTTAAATTAGATGTCGCTAGTGCGTCCGTATCGAAGCCATGTTATTGTTGCTTCTTAAAAGACAGAAAATATTGATCTTTCACGTTGAGAACACCTTTGAATAACTGTTCTGATGAGACCTATTAGGTCGAAATACGTATCAACAGATACAAAGGCGCTGTTTGCGTGAAATCAAATATTTGCTGTCTTTTTCACCTTTTTTTTTCACCATTCTTTAAAATTTTACAGAATAGTGATTTAGTGCAGGACCTGTTTTGTTTTTCTATTTTTCTTTTTGAACATTAAAAGTCTAAAGAATTAAGATCCTGTTTTTTGAATTCCTTCAGACAATTCATCTACACAATTTATTGGTCAGAATTTTGGATCTTGTAAATCAACTCGATTAACATCACTTTTGACTAGAATTTGCCGTTCAGGAGAACTCTTTTCAGGATGTAACTCGATATCACAAAGTGGGTCTGAAGTTGCCGTGGATGAATTATCTCGACGTGATGAAGGTCCAGCTGCAAATTTTATTTTATTAAAAAGTAACTAAATCATTCAAATAAACCTACCTTCTAAAACATCTGATACTATTGCAATTGGATTTTCTTGAAAAGAAATGCTTGTTGGTATACTATCTTGCCTGGATTTGCTAAAAAAATCTGAATCTTGGGGGTTTTTTTAATACTGCATTTAATTTTTGTTGTTTTTCGAACATTTGTCGTTTCCAAAATGCACCTCCTTCCTTTCCGCTCATTTTTTAGAAACGTCACGAAATACTAATAAATAAGTTAAATTTGAGACTAGTCTCGAAAATTGCGCTAAGACGACTGACGACTTGGCGTGTTGGAGGCGGACACGCTGCCGCCAGGCCCAGTGGCCCTACCCGATTTGCCGGAAACATAAAAAGTGTTTTTGTACGACCTGTTACCGTATGCACGGATCTTACCAGTGAAGAGACAAAGTTTTATTACCATGCTATTTCATATAGAATTAAAACGCGATCGGAGCGATATACCGCCACTCAAAATTTACTGCCGGGGGCTAATAGTCCCATAGCCCCCCCTTAATCCGGCACTGGTTATAGTCATATGTCGTCCTTCATTCCAGAAGTGTTCAATACTAACTAGTAGAACACAATCTATTCCATAGGAATCATTCCACGTGAACTGCTGATATCAACATTTATTTGTCTACCAAAGAAAGTAAATGCCAAAGAATGTAGTGATTATTATCGATCGATCAGTTTAATGTTACATAACTTAAAAACACTTCTAAAAATCATCCATAATAGAATACACGCTAAACTGGAGATGGATATTAGTGATTCCCAGTTTGAATTTCGGAATGGAGTGGGCACAAGAGAGGCACTATTTTCTTTTAACGTGCTGACCCAAAGATGTTTGGATGTTAATCGAGATTTTTATGTGTGCTTTATCGACTACAACAAGGCATTCAATAAAGTAAAACATGACCGACTTATTCGCTCCGTGCGTGACTGACGCGACACCTACCGCCTTCATCTGACAATTTTGGAGTCCCAATTTTCAGGTTAAACATATGACATATGTTTGACATTGTTAAATACATGCGAAATTGACAATTATTAATAAATTAGTTTTTTAACTATATTTTTTCAGTTTATGTTCAAAATAAATGTAGTATTAAAAACTTAGTTTCTCAAAATTCATCATAATATATCTTTTCAACTCCAAACGGAAAAGAAAGGGAAAAATTTAGTACTGGCAAATCAAGTTTTTCACGCAAAAGAGCATATAATTAAAAACAATAATGGTAAAAGTTATGATATAAAAGCTAAAGTCATCTGCAGTTAGCTTGAAGCCTTATCAAATATCATTCAAGGTAAATTATTTAAATTTTTCCTATTTCACATGCATAAAATGAAATTCTGTGATATTTACTTTTTCATATTAATAGCACGAATTCATCTTTTTCTTTTCTCTAATTTATATGTAATCTTTGGGAACCTATAAAAACTACACTCACTGTTTTTGCTATTATTAGCACAATTAAATACGCAACATGTATTTGCATACATTTTTGATAAAATTTATGAGTAAAAATATTTTGTCCAATATTCCAATTTTGTCATATTTCGCCGCTACGCACGCTGGCATCGTTTCAATGTACCCCTACCATGGTCACGCACGGAGCGAATAGAGGTACTCAAAAATAACATAACATAACATAACATAACAATATCTTTATTTTTAGAAAATAATATACATTCCGTGAACATAAAATTATTAAAAAAAAAAAGTGTCCCAAACGAAAATATTATTTACTTATTCCTAACCAATACATATACAAATAGTCCTCCACAGAATATGGCTCAAGAGCTACCAGTAATTTAAATATTTGATGTTTATAAAAACTTAATCTTTCCTCCCTTTTAATAGGTTCAGGCAGTTTATTAAACAATTTGATGCAGCAATAAAGAGCGTTTTTTCTGTTATACTTTACCTGTATATTGGAATTTTATAATTATATAACCTGGTATTTACTATACTATTGGGCTCAAAGTTCCTAAAGAGTATTTTATTTTTATATAGAAACAGTAAGAATTCTTGAATAAATACAGCGTAAACTGTTAAAATATTATTACTCCTAAAATGCCCTCTTCATGATTCCATACTTTTTAAGTCAAACATAACTCTGATTATTTTTTTCTGAACCAGAAATACATTATTTATGTCCCTACTGTGGCCAAAATTTATTAGACCATATCTAAATTTTGCTTCAAAATTAGCATGATACACTGTTTTTAATGAGTTACTATTCATGTATTTTTTTAGAACTCTAAAGCTGTAAATCACTTTACTCAAAGACATACATAACTGGTCAACATGTTTATCCCAACATAAAAAACTGTCAATATATAATCCTAAAAATTTGGTACTGCTGCTAATATTTAAAGTGTCATTATTTACAATAATAATGTTTGGCATATCTGAATGTGCATAATATGTCTTAAACAAAAGAAGATCTGTTTTATTTTGATTTAAAACCAACCTATTCATAGAAAACCAGTCTTTAGCTTTCTGGAACTCTAAACTAGCATTAACGCTTAGAACAGACATGTCTTTACCACTGACTAAAATGTTTGTATCATCTGCATAATTTGTTATGCTGGAAGTAGTATTAGCCACTAGACCATGAAGATCATTGATATAGATCACAAACAGTAAAGGACCAATCACACTTCCTTGTGGTACTCCAATATTGATAGTGCTTTCATACTAGTATACGTTTTCATGCTGGTATACGTGGACCAGTTCAATACTGGTCCACGTATACCATATTTCTTCAATTTATCAAATAATATGTCATGCACTAAACAGTCATATGCCTTTGATAGGTCCAAAAAGAGACCCAAAGCCATATGACCAATCTCAGTACATTTCAAAATATCCCAGACAAATTGAAAAATCGCAGTCTGAGTTGATTTTCCCTGTTGATAACCATGCTGATTTGCACTAATAATATGACATTTTGTTAAAAATTCTGTTATCCGCCTATACATAGTCATTTCTAAGTTTTTTGAAAAGGAACATGAAAGGCTAATTGGTCTATAGTTATTAATTAATTTATAATCACCCTTTTTGTAAACGGGTGTTACTATGGCAGTTTTCAGGCATTCAGGAAATACACCAGATTTTAGTGAATTATTTATGATTGTAGTGAGAGGATTCACTATCTCCTTTATACAAAGTTTAAGGATTTTAGTGGGTATTTCATCAATTCCACAACTCATTTTGTTTTTTAAATTTTTAGTTATATCCATAATTTCAGTTTCTGTCACAGGTGCGACAAACACTGAATTTATGTTACTTGCAATGTTGTCTTTATATTCAGTGTATTGTAATTGAGATAAAGTATTTAAGTGGATCATGTATTTATCAGCAATCTCTTGAGGACTACCCTCTACTTTTATTGAATTTACACTTTTTAATTGACCATAAATTTCACTAACAATTTGCCATATGCATTTATTTTTGTTGGCAGCTTCAGACGTCCTGTTTTCGTATAGCTTTGATCGTTTTGTTATTAGTTTCTTATTATATTCTTTTTTACCTGTCTATAGGAATCATAGAATTTATGGTTAACTCTGCTCATTGTAAATAAGATGTCTAAACGAGTCTTACATTCTATTATCTCTGGATCATCTCTTTTATTAAGGCCTTTTTTATGTTGCCTAGAATCTAACTTTTTAAAAGGAAAGCACTGATTGAATATATACAGAAACTGATTTAAGGAAGTATTCCATTGATCATTTACACATTTGTAACTTAAATTAAGCCAGTCATGATTATGTAATTTACTTATAAAAGTTTCAATATTATTTGTACTAAAATGTCTTTTCATTTCAAGAGTATTCGTTTCTGCTTCCTCTACCTGAAAAGTTAATTTTTGGGCAGAATGATCTGAGATTCCAGCGTGCAAGACTTCTACTGACACATATGATTGCATATTTGTTAGTAAGTTATCTATACAAGTTTTAGATGTGGCAGTTACTCTAGTGTAGTCTTTAATTACATGACAAATATTATATGAGTTAATTAACATATAAAATTTTACTTTGTCTAATGTGTTATTCTTAAGATCGATATTGAAATCTCCCCCTATAATTATAATTGTGTTTTCTATCATAATTCTTCCCAGTATAATATCAAATAAGAATCTAAATGTGAGGGATTTAACACTGATATCAAATTTATACTACAGCTAACGATCAAATGTGAAAATTGGAAGAGAAGTGTCAGAAGAAGTGGAGATAAGCAAAGTTGCATACTGTCGCTGTTATTGTTTAATGCTTATTCTGAAGACATCATATAAGAAGCTTTGGTAAACGAGAGAGTCGGCATAAAAGAGAACGGAAGTTTAATTAACAACATTAAGTATGTTGATGATACAGTCATAATAGCCGACAACTTGGAAGACTTAGAAAGAATAATGAACAAAATATTAAGATATAGTGGAGAATACGGACTCTCTCTTAATATCAAGAAAACCAAATTCATGAAAATTAGCAAAAGCAAGATTAGCAGAAAATAACGATTATACTGCAGAAATAAGAGTCAGAATTGAAAAAGCACGTGCCAACTTTGTGAAAATGAAAAAAGATTTTATGCAGCAAAGATCTGATATTGGCATGCTATGTACACAGAGTACTCTACTATGGAGCTGAATCATGGAAATTAACCGAAAAATACAATAAATCGACTTAACGCGTTTAAAATGTTTACATTTAGACGATTGTTAAGGATTCCATGGGTAGATAGAGTCACGAATACAGAAGTGTTAATGAGAATAGGCAAAGAGAGGGAAAAACATCTTGAGACTCATAATTCAAGGAAAATAGAGGGTAGGAGAAGCATAGGAAGAAGACGAGTTTCCTGGTTGAAGAACCTAAGAGGGTGATTTGGTTGCAGTTCAAGGCAATTGTTCAGAGCAGCTGCCTCGAAGGTTAGAATAGCCATGATGATTGCCAACCTTCATCGCGGAGATGGCACTTAAAGAAGAAGAAAAAAAAAGCTTTAGAGGATAACTCACTAACCGGCTCTGTATGAATGGATTTTGTAGCCATACAAACAGAAATCGCAAGCTACATTTGAGAAGCTTGAATGCAGCATGGCAACATTTTTTGATCTCCAGCTGAGTTATTCATTGACTACTATTTGATAGGCTATTTATTTGGTCTAGTGTAAATTAACTAGAGGTTCTCATAGCTCTTTTATCACAGTTTAGTTTCTTGAAAAGCTTCCACTTGATATTACTGCTATGTGTTAGATCCATCTTCTCTTTCTTCGTGTGAAAATGCATAGATACGGGTGAAAAAGTAAGTACTAAATTCTGAAACTTTTTGCTAGGTGAGTACGTAGTCGAAATCAGCGTGCATGCCTCTTGGCTGGGCTAGGTTTAATATCAGATAAAAGTATCAAGTTTGTGTATTGTTTAATTCTAAAATTTAACATTAGACACATGTTTCATGTTGACTAATTGTTGATATATTTATAAAAGTACACGTATTATAAAATAATATATTTTGACTCAATTTACTATCAATACAATATAAATGATATTTTAGCAAGAAGACTACCAACATTCTGCAGACGAAAATCAGAAACCATTCGAAAAGTTGGTCATTACTCCCAGAAGTGATTTGAACTCAAATGAAGAACAAAAAACTGTTCGTGTTAATTATATTGAATTGCCTTCCTTAACTGAAATAACTGAATTAGGGAAAAACGATAATTTTTCCTTATTTATCCCGAAACACCAAAAGATTGCTGCCAAGCTAACATCGTTATTTATGGGTAAGTAAATATTATGTTTTTTCCATAAATTATTTTTTTCTACGTATGGTTATTGTGTAATATTTATAGAGTAGGCATTATTTAGAAACAGTTCAGAAATAATTCTTTAATTATTAGCTACATTACTTTTCATCTTTTCTATGTACATTTCTTATATTTTTTGTTTGTTTTTTTATTGAGTTTATTGTGTCTCAACTACAAGGTTATTGACACTGGGTCAATTTTGGTACTATAAATTTTACATTACAATATAATTATAGTTTACAATAAATTAATTTTACATTACATTAAAATAAAGAGAGTAAAAGACAAAGTAAAAACAGAAAAGAAAACATTAAATGTTGTAATACAAATTCGTTTCTCGAAGGAAATCTAGTACATTCGGAATAAGATCCAATTGGCTGAGGATCACATTTGTAAGACCATGCATACAGTATTTTTTTGTGCTTGCTCGTACTCGACACACTGTGTAAGGATATGTTGAACGGTTAATGATTCACTACACTTTTCACAGACAGATAATTTCTCCGAAGCCATCAGGTGTCCATGTGTCAGCCGTGTGTGACCAATTCTTAGCCTGCGAACGATTACTTTGTCTTTTCTACTTAAGTTAGACAGCTGAAAGGTTTCGATGGCAGGTTGTATTTTGTGTAGTTTCGAGGTTGAACTTTTCCAATAATTTTGCCAGCACTTTTTGATTTGTGATATGAAAAGTAGTTTTAGATCTGATGCTAGTTGAACGAATTTGATGTCTGATTTGGTTGTAATTGCTTTCTTCGTAGCAGTTTCATTATCTAAAATCCCAACGTGTGAAAGAATCCAGATTAATATTACGTCTGTTCCAGAAGAAGTGAGACAGTTTGTTGTTTCATGTATGGCATGAACTAATGAATGTTCGGAATATATATTTTTAATTGAGTCGATGAAGGACATCCAATCTGTACATATTGCAGTGTTCTTGGCTTTAGTTTGATTGCATAGATATTTTAATGCTTGCAGGATGGCGTACAGCTCTCCCGTATGGATTGAGGTGGATGGTGGAAGGCAGAACTTATGAATGATACTATTTGAAGTTGTTATAGAATATCCGACTCCTGTCTTAGTTTTGGATGCATCTGTGTATAGAATCCTGTCATACGAGTTTGTGTTGACCAGCTCTAGAAAAGTTTGCTTCAGAATTTGGCTGTTGATTTTATTTTTGTAAAAATTGTTAAGCAAAAGGTTAATTTTTGGAATGCTCGGAATGCTGGAATTTGTTTGTTTTTTAATTGCAAAGTTCTGGCGAGAATTCTGAACAATACAAATTATTATTATTAAAAATTTTTATTCTTTGACAATTTTATATATCTAACAATACTTTCGGCCACATAATTTTAATCAAGGCTTCTTGATTCTAAAAAATTATTTTTTGGTATAGGATTTAGATTTTTGCACCTTTCAGTGGCATATCCCAAGAAATTTGTGTCGGAGGGGAGGTCATGGATCTTGAGGTGATTTTGATATGATTTGTGCCTCATGTAAGGGAACCATTTTCTCAATAATTATTTTAAGCGATATATTAAACCAATGAGAAGTATTGATACCGATACTATTGAAATACCTTACGGGTGCAAAGAAGGGTACAACATTAACGGGTCTTAAACTTAAACCAAAAAAAAATTTAATTAAACCCATATATACTCTATGACAGTAAAATTAAGTGGACAAGACTATTAAACCAAAGGAAAATTATTAAAATATAAATACTGAAAAATCAAGGACTGTTAATTTAAACTAGGTATTTTAAAGACAATTAATTCAAATCCATCTATCCTATCTCTACAAAATCAAAGTTGAAAATTCCATTCCTAATAAACTCTATCTTATTGTTGGATATCCGATATCAATTTGTAAAAACATTCATTTATTCGTTATTGGTATGCGGAGTGGAAATATGGACTCTCGGAATTACAAGTATATATATATATATATATATATATATATATATATATATATTTATATATATTATATATATTTATATTATATATATTATATATATATTATTATATTATTATATATATATATATATATATATATATATATATATATATATATATAAGGTTCTTGAACTCCTAAGTGGAGCATAGAGCTTCAGTGAAAACGCGCCATCGGGTTCTATTTTGCGCTAAGGCCTTCACCTCATTCCAAGACTTTCCTTGTTTTCTTATCTCGTCCATGATGGATCTTCTCCAAGTTTGTACTGGGCGACCTTTTTTTCGTTTTCCTTGGGGATTCCACTCTAGGGCAGTCTTTGCAATACTGGAGTTATTTTTTCGGAGTGTGTGACCGATCCAGCCCCACTTTCTGGACTTTATTTCATTTACTACCCTCTTTTGTTTGGTCAGGTGTAGTAAATCTTCGTTTCTGATGATGTTAGGCCAGAAAATACGAACAATTCTTCGTAGACATTTATTAACAAAGACCTGCAGTTTGTCTGTAAGGGTTTTTGTCGCTTTCCAGGTTTCACATCCGTAAAGAAACGGAGAAAGCACGCATTCCCTGTCTGACTCCAGTAAGTACGTCAAATTCGTTACTGTTGATCCCATTGTGTGTCACGCTGCATTTCGCTTCAGTGTACAGTAACTTTATAATGGAAATTATTTTATGCGGGATGTTTCTTAGCTCTAAAATTTTCCATATCGCATCATGAGATAAGCTGTCAAAAGCACGCTCGAAGTCAACAAAAACCATGTATAGGGGTGTGTTCCATTCAACCGATTGTTCCATTATTAGCCTCACAGTATTAATGTGGTCTATGCAGGAGGATTCTGGTCTAAAGCCTACTTGATTAGCTCGAAATTCAACCTTGTTTGTTAATCTTTTAAGTATGATGGTCGTGAAGATTTTATTTATGGCGGTAAGCAAGGTTATTCCTCTCCAATTTTTGCATAGTGTGAGGTTGCCCTTTTTTGGAAGCTTAATAATGATGCCTTTTTTCCAGCCCGCTGGAAAGCGGTTTGTTTCCCACACCTCTCGGATTATGCGGAATTACAAGTATAAGGCCTTTAAAATGCGTGTTTTTCAAAGGATGGTGAAGATTTCGCAGACAGAGCACGTGACCAACAACGAGGTGCTGAGAAGAATGAGGACTGAGAAAGAACTCCTAAATATTGTAAACTACAGAAAAAAAGAGTTATCTAGATAATATATACAGAGGAGAAAAACATAACTTTCTACGACTCACAATGGAAGGGAAAGTAGAAGGAAAAAGGGGTCCTTCTTCTTCTTCTTCTTCTTCTTCTTCTTGGCCTTTTATCGTCCATGTTTGGACATATGCCTCTCCCAACTTCTTCCATCGGTCTCTATCCTGAGCAACATATTTCCAATTTGTTCCGGCTATTCTTTAATGTCATCAATCCATCTCATCTGTGGTCTTCCTCTTGGTCGTTTACTTTCGTAAGGTCTCCAATGTTGTATTGTAGTATTTCAACGTTGGTCTTTTTGTCTAGCAGTGTGGCCCGCGAAGCTCCATTTAAGTTTGTCAATTTTTGTTGTTATGTCCTCTACTTTTGTTTTTGATCTTACCCAGTCGTTTCTCTTTTTATCTGACAGTCTTATACCTAACATTGCTCTTTCCATTGTTCTTTCTGTTGTGACTAGTTTATACATGTTTGCCTTGGTTAGGGTCCAGGTTTGACTTCCATATGTCATGATAGGAAGAATGCATTGGTTGAACACTTTGCTCCTCAAGTATTGGGGTATTTTGCGGTTTTTATGTATCCAACTAAGTTTTCCAAATCCTGCCCATGCTAGTCTTGCTCTTCTAGTAATTTCCGCACTTTGGTTTTCTACGGCCCACGTCTCAATACTATCAAACGAGTTTTCATAGTCGACGAAGGCAAGAAATACGGGTAGTTGGTATTCATTTGCCTTCTCTATCAATGTTCTCATTGTCAGCAGATGGTCTGATGTACTAAATCCTTTGCGGAAGCCAGTCTGTTCAACCGGTTGGTAATTGTCCATTTTGTAGGTCAACCGTTGTTAATTATTCTCAAAAATAGTTTGTATACTTGACTGAGCATAATTCTGTAGATCACATTTGTCCCCTTTTTTGTGTAAGAGTATTACTAGACTCTCGTTCCAGTCTTTAGGGATCTTGCTATTATGGAGACATCTATTAAATAGCTCTGTTAATGTCTTGTTTGTTTTCAAGAGCTCGGCAATTATACCGTCGTGCCCTAGAGCTTTATTATTTGTAAGCTCTATTAAAGCTTTTCTATTTTGAATCCCTTTATATTTGGTAGTACTTCTGATCCCAAGTTTTTTTTGTTTTCTTTTGATGTTTTTTTTTTGTTGTTTCATTAGGCTGGCTTTGTGAGCTGTATAAGGATGTGTAGAAGTCTTCGACAATATTTGTTATTTTATATTTATCTTTCTCTTCTTTGTTGTTGGCGTCTTTAATTTTGATGATTTTTTGAACTCCCAGTGCGGGTCTTAGATATTTTAAGCCTCTGTTCTTTTCAATGATTCGCTCTATTAAGTTCTCGTTCCATTTTTGTATGTCGTGTTTTAGTTATTTTCTAATTTTTTGATTAAATTCTCTGTATTCTTAAGTATAGCGTTTGTTTTGCGCTAGTAGTTGTCTTCTTTTCGTCATTAGTTGTTTACTTTCATTGCTTAATTTATCTTCTTTAGTCCTTGTCTTCTTTGCGACCTGTAGTCCGGCTACGAGAAGGTTTTTATTTATGTTTTTATTGATCTAGTCAATTTGATCTTGATTATGTGAAGGATCAGATTCGAACTTATCCGCTAAGACCTCTCGGAATTGCTCTTCATTTGTTCTTAATTGTTTAAAGGCATCTATCCTCGTTGTTTTTTTTAATCCTTTTTCTTGCTTCTTTTATGATAATATTAATATTTTCCTGGACCTCTAAAAAGAGGCCCAGGGAGAAGAAAATGTTTCTGACTAAAGGATGTAAGAGACTAGACAGGCATGGACACACATTCGATATTAAGAAGAGCTACTGGAGAGCAATTTGCTGTAGTTATAGCCACCCTTTCGTAATGAAGAAGGACCCTTAAGAAGAAGTGTAACCAGTATTTTATTTAAATTAATTTATTTAACAAAAAAAATTTTTCGGGAAGTCTTTTTGGAAGAGTTTTCAGACGACGTGTTTCTAATGATAAAGGTAAAGCAGTAAATAAAGTTTATATATTTAATACTCATATTTCATAACTTTTTATTTTGTAGGTTGCATTGATTTTCAGATTGGCTGGTGCGTTAAGAAAGGACGAACTATTGAAATTAGAAACAAATAACGTTCAAGACTTGATGTCGAAGTTTCTTGTCACAATAAAAGTATCAAAAACTCACACAAATAGAATATTTACCATAGTAGATAACGAAGCAAATACCATTCTCAATGCGATCAAAAACTATATTTCTTTAAGACCGGCACACACACCACATAAACGATTTTTCATTTTTTATAACAATAATAAATGTTCTACACAGCCAGTTGGCATAAATACGTTTTCCGAAATTCCTTTCGTTATTGCTAAATTTTTAAAATTAGAACACCCGCATCTCTCCACTGGCATTGTTTTAGACGTTCCTCTGCCTCAATACTGTGTGATAGTGGTGCAGACTTTTCAGCTATTAAAAGACTAGGTGGTTGGAAATATACTGTTGTAGTAGAAGGTTATATACATAATTCTATGCAAAATAAACTTGAGACGGCTGAAAAACTCTGGGACAAAATACCACTAATCCTTGTGAAAGTACTTCCTTCAGCACCACCGTGTCTTGTTCTATCACAGAATTTACATCCAAGAAGACTTAAATATAAATTTGTCAAAATGCTATACAACAGATAATCATTTATCAATACCTTCCTTTAATTTCAGTAATTGTACTATTTCGAATATTAATGTTCCCAATAATAAAACTACCACTAGGAAAATTAAACTTTGAATAAACATAATGAAAGCTGAAAAAATTGTTGGTTATCGTTAATTAAATAAAAATTTAAACTAAGATATCTTTATTTCTAAAAAGTACGGTCGACGGAAAAGTTTTGTACCGAACTCGTGAATTAAAATGGCGATTAACAAACTCGTACATTATCTCAGTTATTAATCGCCTTTATTGATACAATTATTGGTTAAATAACTATTGGTGTTATCGTGCAAAGATTAATGTCAATAATTTGTGATCTGTTTTATAAATAGCTTGAGTATTTTGTTTTTTGTATAACTGTATTTCTTGTTTTAGGTATGAAAACTTGCGATGACCTGCTGTCTTTGGCAGCATGCGCTCGAGAACGTGTCAATCCTCTTCTTTTTAACTACGCGTTATCTGTGGCTTTATTACATAGAAATGATACCAAAGATTTGGATTTGCCATCTGTAGTGTTTTCATTTCCTCATAAATACATCGACAGTCACGTTTTTTCCAAAGTTGCAGAAGCTCAGAAGAAGAATTCATCACAGAACAAAAAGGTAAGAGTTATTGTTTATAGGGTGGTGATTATTTTTCAATACTAGAAGTCTAAAGTTTTTCTAGTATAGAAAACTAATCACCAGTACTACAAGCGACACTAGAATAATACGACAACTTTGTCTCTACTATGTCTTCCTTAGACCCAGAGTATTTTTTAAAATATTTTCGAACTGTTTTGGGATTTTGTCTTTTTCAGAGTATTTTTTTAATATTTTCGAACTGTTTTGGGATTTTGTCTTTTTATATAATTGCGTCTTCTTCTTCTAGTGCCGTCTCCACTAATGACCTAATGACCAGGCTTCGACACCATAAAGATACATAACATAAGACATATAACATTTTACCATCTGATATCGGATTGGCAGATTGAGCCTTTGATTACTCAGAAATTTTCTCATCTTCAAAAAGGCTGCTCAAAGAACCGCGAAGAACTCAACAAATATATAGGGTCAACAAGATCAAGAGAAGCATGGAAAATGGTAAAAAATCTGAGAACAAACAGAAAAGAAACGAGTAGAATAGATTTAATAGAAGAAAAATCTTGGATCGAACACTACTCACAACTTTTAACTGAAACAAGACCTCAATTCACGAACATCAGTACAACAACATATGAACTGGAATTCACTGAAGACGATGAAATAATAGTACAGGAAGTCGAGAATGCAATACGAACTCTAAAAAATGGGAAGTCATGCGGACCACAAGGTATACCAAATGAATTACTAAAACATAGCCCACAAGTATTACGGGAATTACTGGCGTATGTCTTCACCTTATTCTATAATGGACACGACTTACCACCGGAGTGGACAAAAGCACATATAAACAACATATACAAAAAAGGAGATAGAAAGAATTGTTCAAACTATAGGGGGCTAAGTGTCATAAATTCACTCTCAAGACTGTATGGCAAAATAATAAAAAATAAAATTGAAAAAGAGATGACAGATGTAGAAGAACAGAATGGCTTTCGTGCAGGCAGATCCTGCATGGACAGTATATTCTCTCTAAAGCAAGTTATCGAAAAAAGATTAGCCCACAACCTTTCAACTCATATAGTCTTTATAGATCTGACAAAGGCATACGATAGTGTACCGCTTTCAATGCTTTGGTAGCAATGGAAAAAACAAGGAATAAGCAAAAAAATATACAAGCAGTACAACAGCTCTACAAAAATATGACGGCAAACATTAAACTGGAAATAGATTAACTGGAGAAGTTCCTATTAGTAAGGGTAAGCAAGGCTGCTGCATAGCACCTACACTCTTAAAAATATATCTAAATGAGGCACTCTCACTGTGGAGACGAAAGTGCTGCAATATGGGCATCCAATCGGAGATGATAGATTGTACACGATACATTTCGCTGATGACCAAGCCATTCTAGCTGAAGACGAGAGTAATATAAGCTACATGCTTAGAAAACTGGAAGATGAGTACACCAAATGGGGCCTCACAATTATTATACAAAAACTGAGTACTTAGTTGTAGGAGAACAACCAGAAAGCCTACAAATAGAAATGGGAACTATAAAACCAACAGACAATTTTAAGTACTTGGGAGTCAAATAACATCAAAAGCAGGAAGTAGCGAAGAAATACATTCCAGGATTGGCCAAGCAAGATCAGCCACCAGACAGCTACACGGACTATTATGGAATAAAAAAATAACAAAAGAAAATAAAAGAAGAATTTATAAAACAATAATAGAAAGTATCGGACTGTATGGCGCCGAACTCTGGGAAATAAACCAAAGAAACAAATCAAAAATTAAGGCCATGGAAAATGAACTACTGGAGACGATGTTGTCAGCTCAAGACTAGATAGGGTGAGAAACGAAGATATTCGGAGAGAAATGGAAATCGATCTTGACATAATAGACACAATCGAAGCAAAAGACTTAACTGGTATGGACACCTTCAGAGAATGCCGGAAATAGATGGCCAAAAAAAAATAGAAGAATGGACTCCGCCAACTAGAAGAAAACGAGGTAGGACCAAGACGATCCTGGAGAGACGATGTCGACGATGCAATGACCGCCAGAGATCTAACAACTGAAGATTGCTTCGACAGAAAACGCTGGAAATTAGGATGAGAGAAGCGGCGCCAGCTGTAGAAGACTCGCTTGTTATATATATATCAAAAAGGCTGCTCTTAATTGCTCTATCTTGAGCGAATTTCTGATTTCGTACTCAGATCTTTCGTAATCCAGGCTCCTAAGTATTTATTTTGTTTACTTGCTCAATATCTTCATTTTTTATCTGGATTTTTGTAATGACTTTGCCCCTTTTACTGATAACCATGGTTTTTGTTTTCTTTATGTTTATTCTTAAACCAAATTGTTGCCCAGTATCACAAATTGTGTTTAGAAACGTCTGCAGGTCTGTCTTACTTTGAGTGATAATGACTGTATTGTCAGTATCATCATCAATCAGCCAATCGCGTCCACTGCTGGACATATGCCTCCTCAGTTCTTTCCAGTGTTCTCTCTACACTGGGCCGCTTGTAGCCAGTTTCCCGCTACACGTTTTATATCATCGGTCCATCTAGTCGGTGGTCGTCCTCGGCTTCTTTTATAGTTTCTGGGCCTCCATTCCATAATACGTCTTGTCCATCGTCCATCTTGTGCTCTGGATAAGTGCCCTGCCCAGTTCCACTTAAGCGACGTGGTTCTTTCGATGACGTCTTGAACTCCTGATCTTTGCTTAATTTGTTGGTTTGTTATGTGGTCTCGAAGGCTCACGTTCAGCATTACACGTTGCATGGCTCGTTGTGTAACTCTGAGTTTATTATATCTGAGGCACTAAACTGTCTGTGGACCAAAAAGAAATTATGGTGGCTTTTGACTTAGTGGTTATATTCTAATATATTTTTTAATTTACTGCAGCTTAATAATACTTACATGAATATTTTGGGTCTCCTAGAGGCATAAACAACCTCCTCCAAATATTGTTCTAATATCTTTACCAAATAATTTGCAGCTTATTTATTAAGGCGGAATTGCTGCCTAAATTGAGCATCACTTAGTGAAAAAGGATTTTGAGTATCCCGTAACATTCTTCTTATCCTCCGTTGTGAGCATCTTGATATCTATCCTCTCTCATTCCTCCAAAACCAGCAAATGTCCATAAAATACAGCCATTATAATACTTGTTGCCTTAGTTTTTTTTGCAAGAATCAAACAAAACATAACACCGCCTAAACTGAACCTAATCTCACTTCTCCCAGCCAGCCAGTCATGGCACATTAATTTCGACTCGAAATGAAATGTCAACCACTTTCTTGAGAAGTTGAAATTAATTTCGATAAATCGAAAATTAGTGACGTCCTTTAGTTAGTTCAGCTGAAATCCACTAGGCTCGCAAAGTCGCATTTCGACGTCGCCATATTAATTTCGACATGTTTTAAGTCGAAATCTCAATTAGAATCAGGGCCCAAATTTTATATATAGCCCAGAGCTTACTAAATAATTTTAAAACTTACTTGAATATTGATAGTTTGGAATTTACTTGATATTATGTTTAGATTTTTCTGCATGCTACATAATGCTACAAGTTTTGAGAATTATCAGCCTTCTTATAATAAATTTAAAATCTAAAATCAATCCTAAATTTATATGTGTAATAGAATTTATCTAAAACTTTTATAGACTCCTATTATAATGCCCATGAGTTACACGGCATCCAATTTGGAAGTTGAACATCGTTTAGCATACTTCAGAGAAGATATTGGAGTAAATCTTCATCACTGGCACTGGCATTTGGTGTATCCCAACACAGGGGATGATGTGATTGTCAGAAAGGATCGCAGAGGAGAACTCTTTTATTATATGCACCAACAGATTGTAGCAAGGTAAGTATCTTTATTTTGATTTAGTGTTTTGTAGACTAACTAAATTATTCTAAAGCTTGAGGCTTGATAGACAAGGTTGTAATATCACTGTTTCTTAAAGATTTCATTTTATTTCGTATTATTATTTTTGTCTGCTCTCTACCTTCTCATAATTATTAGCATTTATTACTCATTAACACCTATTTCATTAGTTTTTTTTGCATCTATTTACTTGGATATCATCAGTCCATTTGGTTTAACTGGTTGTCTTGTATACTCTTGATTGGCAATTAACAATTCACTTTCTCTTCTTCCTAGATGTCCAGCACGAGATAATAAAAAAATAACTTTTTTTTACAACGAACATTCAATAAATAAAATTTATTTTTTCACCATCAGAGAAAAAACCACGTACCTTCTGCTCGATTATATATATAGGCAAGATATCAACGAAAATAGCCAAACACATAAAAAAAAGAAAGAAATAGCATCAGCTTTTAGAACAAACAACAATTTAGAGAAATATATTAAGAACAACAAGAGCCAAATGAAAAATCAATTACACAGCGGTATATAAAACTTAAATGTGGCGAAGGCCCAAAAACTTACATCGGTCAAACTGGTAGAACTTTTATCAAACGTATAGAAGAACATAAAAGGGCTTTCAATAATACAAAAACAAACCTTCTAGACAATAATCATTCTTTTAATGACGAATTTCAAATTCTTCACATTCAAAATAAAGGCCTTAAGCTATCTTTATTAGAATCTATGGAACTCTGTGGAAATAAATAAAAAAATACAAACATAATTCTGAAAGACCAATTTAGACAAACAATTTTCCCCTCCTCAACTTATTGTGTTAAAGATTATAATTAGAAAGTGTAAAAACATACCAAAAATAGAGGAAGGCACTCTCGCCGAAACAGCTGTAGTGATAATAATTTCAAATTAATTTTGTGGAAGTGCTTAATAACATAAAAATAACGGTAATTTCTTGGTATTGGTAAATATAAATAACATATAATATAGAAGAACTGACAAAAACTTCTATAGGTTATCTATCATTCCCAGATTTAGCCATACGGCTCACACTCCCTCTAAGGGGAAAATTCACTCATCCCAGATACCTACGGTATCAAAAGGATTGAGCTCTGGTGGGACTCTTTTCCGTGTGTATCGAGCCTAGGTGACTTGGTATGTTGGAGTATCTCCCAAAATTTTCGTACACATCTGGACGTCGCAAGGAGTACAGCTTTCTGCATGGCCTTATAAGATGTTCATTTAGACCCAGCTGTTTTATGTTCGCTAGGAGGTTTTTGGGAATAACATCAGTAGTAGATAGATAACACCATTCTCATTGTCTCCTGATTTGTATTTCTAGATCTCTGTACTTGGCGATTCTTTTCGTTGTATTTAACACCTATATTATTGGTGTTGGGTATCGCCCATCAATAATTGTTGTTTGTCTAGTAAATTTATTTACTAGTATGAGATCCGGTCTATTATGGGCCACTGGTTGGTCTGTAAGCACAGTGCGGTCTCAGTATAGCTTGTAGTTGTCATTTTCAAGCATTCTGTCAGGGACATATTGATAATAAGGAAGATGGTCGGTTTGGAGAAGTCCCAGTTTGTCAGCTAGTTCTTGATGGATAATCTTTCCTACTGAGTCATGGCGTTCTTTATAATCAGTACCGACAAATGCCTGGCAGCGACCGGTTAGATGTTGGATAGTTTTTTGGGCTTGGCATCCATATCGGCATTTGTCATTTTGGACTTGAGGATCTTTAACAATATATTTCAGGTAATTTTTAGTTGGAATAACCTGATCCTGAATGGCAAGTAGGAAACTCTCAGTCTCGGGAAACATCTTTCCTGATGTCAACCAATAGTTCGACGTTATCTATCATTATTATTAGTCTTATTGATTAGTAGTTGATACTTTCATTTTGATTTAATTTTCTAGATATAATTTTGAACGTCTTTGCAATGGATTGAACCGGGTGGAAAGATATACTAATTTTAATGAGCCCATCCGCGAGGCTTATTATCCGAAAATAAATAGCATGGTTGGAAACCGAACTTACCCTGCTAGAGTACCGAATATGCGTTGGCAGAACGTACAGCGAGATTTTGATGAAGCGGGAAATACAGCAATTGATATAGAACAGATGGAACGTTGGAGACATAGAATATATAATGCTATTAATTTGGGATTCGCCAGGGATGTAAGTTATTTTTCTATTAGAACAGATAATCCGGTATTAAAGACACTCTTTGGTTAGTTGAAACACATATTAAAAATGTTACTTTAACCACAAGATATTAGCATTTTAGTAGGCGCAGTTTAATTTTGTGTATAGTGAAGTCGTTTTACCCTGTTGTATTTATATAAATCAGCGCTATCAAAACAATTTTTTGTAAATCGTGAAAAAACGCAAATTGAATGCTTTGTGATGATAATTTATTGAAAAAAATTTTTATAATTTTATTTCAAATAAAATTGTTCTCGAGGAGTGCATCCATGTCCTTGCGGTCACATAACTGTATAATTTTAGTTGTTATATTTGCAAAAATAGTAAACAGTCTGCGGAGTCGAGGCTCTCCATTGACCGGACTCATCGGCCAATGACCGACGCGCCCTGCCACCGAGGCCCCGCCCCCTCGTGTATATATTGAGAGAGCTTCGAAAAATCTCGCTAGTATTCAATGATCGCTAGTTTTCAATAGTGACAATGGATAACGTACAAGAAAACGATAGAACACCTAAATAGAAGTTTTTATCTCCGAGTGAGTGTCGAATTGTGTTGAAAGTGGAAAATTATTTTACTTTAGAAAAAATCAACATGGGATCAATTACATCAGTACTGGCAGTTCATAAAAGGACAAGTGCAGCTTGTGGAATTTCAGAACGGACCTTGCAAAGAGTTCGCAAAATGAGTTAGGAGGAATTAAGTAAGGAAAACAAAAGGATTCGTTTGCATCCGAAAACATTCGACTTGGCACAAGTATTAAAATCTCAATCAGAAATATTACTTATGATACATACAAAGCAAAAGAACATGTTACAAGAAAAACACTTATTCAAAAAATAAAGGACAGAGAACTTTGTGATATGGGTTTGACCAGTTTATCAAAAGTATTAAAAGCTATGGGTTTTAGATACAAAAAAACCAATAATCGTAAAGTGTTGTGCGAGTTGTCCAATGTTGTTGGAAAAAGGTGGAAATTTATAAGAAACTATTTAAAAAACAAGAATTCCGAATTTGCCAGACAATTTGTGTTTCTTGACGAAACATGGATTTTTGCGAAAGGAAATAATACCAAATCATCCTGGCAAGATGATTCTACCAAATGCTATTCGAGTACTAGTGCGAGTAATGGCAAAAAATACGGAAGGTTTTATACCCAATGCTAGTCTTATATTTTCTTCGACAAAAAAACTGATGATTACTGATGGACGCCGATATTTTTGAACATTGGTTTGGAGAAAAATTATTAAAAAATCTGGAAAATCTGTCATTAATAGTCTTAGACAATGCTTCGTATGACACCAGAGAGGAGGAAAAGTTTCCCACAAGCAGCTGGAAAAAAGAAGACTTAAGAAAGTGGCTGCCTGAGAAAAATATAGAACACGAACATCTAGTTTTAAAAGCTGAATTATTCAATAAGTGCAAAGAACACATTACTGAGAAAAAATTTGTCGTTGACCAAATGGCACTAAAATATGGTCAGAGGTCCTCAGACTACCACCATATCACTGCCAGTACAATTGGTGTGGGGCATATCTAAAAACTACTATAATAAACATGCATGTAAGACCACCGACGAAGCCAGCGTTTTATAACTCTGGCAAGATGCACTATATAAAGTCGATGAGAAACAATGGCGGAAATGTATTGAGCATTCTGAAAAAAAAATTTTAGAGTCATATGAAATAGAACAAGTTAGTGATGAAGTAAGACCTTTAATTATTCGTACAGATGAAGATTCAGATGAATCGGATAGCGAGTCAGATAGTGATGATACTTGTCAAAAAAAAAAAAAAACAAAAACTGCATGCAGGAGAGAGCCGGAGGCACGCCGCACGACGCTCTTGAATGCAAGCACCAAAAAAATTAGATTAGCAAGTAAGGTAGATTAAGGACATGACTAAACGAATAACTGAGTATTAGACGATGACGGATGAAAGGATTCGATGCTTGCTCGCTCTCGACTGCATTTGGTACAGAAAAGGGAAAGCAAGTATCGGCACACACAACCATCATTAGATCGCCGAACAATTGCTTTGACCGGCAGTGATAAAGCCAAATGGGCTAACTTACCATTTAAATGTAAATACACGGAAATCTCCCATTGCTTGACAGGGGATACCGCGAAATAGTCGGGACCTGGCTCCAAGGACCAGGGGGCGGAGGAAAGCCGGGGCTGGTTGTACCGCAGGAGGACAACCTAACTCGGCGGATTTGGGAAGGTGTGTGTGGGAAGTAGGAATAAGTCTTTGTTTTATATAGATATATATTTTTATAGATATATTTATAAAATATATAAAAATAAAAATATAATACAAAATTTTGAACACCCAGTATTAACATTGGCAAATAATTTTTTTATGCTTAAACAAAAATAGAGTTTAGTATACGCTGAAAAAAGTTTTTTTTGTTTTTTCAGCATAAATATTAACCACAATATTAATTTTTGAAGTTGCATGTGTAATATGAAAAATTTTTCAAAAACTTTAAATATCTCAAAAACGGCTATTTTTTCGAGAATGGTACCCCAATAAAAATCTATCCAGAATTTTACGTAGATTCTAAAAAAATAACAAAAAGCACAGTTTCTATTTAAAATAAGAAACTTAATGGCGACTTTCACACGAAAATGAAGAATGCTTTGCATAACCAGTGCAGAAACCAGTGAGGACCAGAACTTTGAAAACTTTTAACAAACATTTTGCGTGAATGACCCTGTATATTTCATAATTAATGTTTATCAATTTACATTATGATATTTAATTATTATAAAACATAATACAAAAATATTTTATTAAAAAAATCCCTAATGTGGTATTATCAAATTAAGAAAACCGTACAATTTGAGAACCGCTTACTACCTAAGGCAAATCTGAACACTTTTATTACTTATGCCACAGGCTAAAACGATCCTACTTTCATCAGTAGTCGCACATGGTCTACTAAACCGGCCATAAAAATAGTCTTCTGGATGCATTTTGTTTAAATTTTAATAAAACAATAATCTATTGTTTGTAATTTGTTCAACATTACTTATTATTATTGACATATTTTGTTTATTTAAAATGTTAATTTACGCAGTACAAAAAATGGTTTACAATTTTTGTAATAGTTTGATTTATTCTCTTTTTTACTAAACAAATCACAATTAATTTAAAATTAGAACATAACATATCAGCCTTTAAGTACTGCCCTAAACAAAAATAAAACATTGTTGAGTATCGTATTGAATTTCGCAGAAAAACTTATACTGATACCAGGAATTTATTAAAACAAAGAAATCTTATTACAGAAAGAAATGATCCAAATGGACAGTAAAAGAGAAAGATAAACAGAGAAGTCAAGAAAGCAATAAGAAAAGACTTAAGAAAATACACGTCCCTTGTTTTTCTCTATTGCATACTATCTATTATTTATGTGTGTAATTTATTAGTTGGTTATTTTATTATTATATTTTGCAATTATTTTTCATTTTAATATTTTGTTTCAGAAAAATCGTAACGAGGTAGAGCTTACTGAAACCGAAGGAATCGACATTTTGGGTAACATGGTAGAAGCATCCGATAATCTATCTCCAGATTTTGATTTTTATGGTAATTTTCATAATATGGGTCACAATTTAACTGCCTACATTCATGATCCTGATTATCGACACCTGGTAAGTTATTAAAGGTAATTTTGTAAAGATATCTATTTTAAACCTTGTAACCGTTTCAAAAGTTTTAGGAAATTCATTATAAATTTGATTATTTTTTTTTAAATAAAACTGCTAACCCCATCTATCTGCCGGGTACTTGTGGCCGACTCAAGGTTTCTACTGTAATTCTAAACCTATCCGGTAGATGAGAACGATTATTAACTTGTCAATCACGCCCCAATTCAAACCGGGAAATGATAGCGTCTGTCTCTTTTCTCTTACAAACATCCAACTGTTAGGACGTGTTTTTGTGAAGTGGTCTTTATATAGAGGTAAGCTAAATAAAAAGGCCTTTTTTGTCGACGATAAAAGATCATTGATTATGTTTATTTGGCTCGAAGTTAACTGAGAAGTCATATGCTGTCGTAAACGCAGCCCAATATTTCGTTATGATCTAAATGGACCCCTAATAACTAATTTAACGAAATGCTTGGAGGTTGAGAGGAAACAGAGCATATCCCTTTTTGTATGGTTGCCAGCTATTGGATGATTAAGGTTGTACCTTTCTTTTTTTATTATACCCTATCGAGAAAGCGATAAATAATTATGGACTCAGAGAAAGAAAATATAGCAGTGTTTTAATTTTGTTTAAAGATTTAACTTTTCTATTATGCCTAGGTAATAAATAACTACCATAATATTTTAAATGTAAACGAATTTCAAAATTTGGAAATAAAATATAAATTCATTTGTTTTTATCAACCAATTCTTGATTTAATACGATATAAAGTTGTTTTGTTTATAGTAATGTAATTATGAAATGGTATTTTAATATCCTTTGGAAATAACATAACTTTTAATGTTTCTTTTTATTACTGAGAAATAATAAAGTGTAATTTTGCTGTAAGTTTTCTATATATCTTATTTTTTTTTATTCTCTCTCGTCCCCTACGATGATAAACAAGGGGTGGCGTCCAATAATAAATTATAATTTCGGATTATCTGATTGTGTTTGGATTTTTGAGATATTATGTAATTTCTATACAATTGACCTTACCCCGCCATTCCTCTCCGAGTTGAGCTATTCTGGCCTTGAATTTAATGTGTGTGCGGGATGTTTATTACGCATCGACGCTACAACCTGACATATTGCAGCTAATTTACTTATTATACATTTTCTATTTGTTCATGATACCTACTTTATCCTTGGACCTAAACCTTGTACCAGTTTGCATAGGTAGATGAATACTTTTTTTTAGGAGTTACCTAGTTTTCTTTTTCTTTCGTGGCCCTAGAACTCTGAGTAAATTGCGTTAAGTAATAATTGAACCACACTTGCCGGGTAGTGTGAAAGAAAAGACTTCACTCTTGGGCAGCAATTTATTCTTGTTGTACCTCCATCTTACGTAGATCACTCGTCTTTCCGAAGACTGCATCTCTGCATCTTTTTCTTGGACAACCAACTGACCTTTTTTGCTTCTTCTTATGTTTGTAGGAGAACACTTTTATGTTATCTCGATTGGTTGGTTGGTTTGCTTACTATCCTAGTACATATTACATATTGTATTTCGAACTGTCATTTTATTGCCCTCGGGTAAATCAGTAGTTTTTGGTTTTAAACAAGGTCTGCTTTTACCATGAAGATGGTCATACCCATCATACCTTTTGGCCATAGAAGGTGGGTTCGGTCGACGGAATTTCGTCGACGTATTCGGACGTAGGTTCTAATCTTGTTCAGCAATATCAGTTCTTCTGTTACGTTCTGTAAGATCAAAATAGTCATGATAATTGCCAACCTCCGTCGTGGAGATGGTACGTAAAGAAGAAGAAGAGAGTTTGAGCTAACAGTGACTGGATTAATTGGTGCATCTTCTTCTTCTTCAAGTGCCGTCTTCGTTCCGAAGTTTGGCTATCATCAAAGCTATGCGTATTTTTGATGCTGCAGTTCTAAACAGTTGGTAATTGGTGCAATTGTACCATTCTCTCAAGTTTTTCAACCATGAATGCCTTCTTCTTCCTATAGATCTCTTTCCCATTATCTTTCCCTGTATAATCAATTGCAGCAACTGGTATTTATCTCCCCTCATAACCTGTCCCAAATATTGTAGTTTGCGCTTTTTAACAGTAAGTATCAGCTCTTTCTCTTTCCGCACTCTCCGCAAAACCTCCACATTTGTTACTTTCTCTGTCCAGGGTATTCTTAATATTCTACGATACATCCACAACTCAAATGCTTCTATCTTTTTGGTATCGATCTTTTTCAATGTCCATGTTTCCATCCCGTAGAGGAGAACTGACATAACGTAACATCTCAAAAGGCGAATTTTAAGTTTTAGACTTAGATCTCTTCCGCAGAACACCTTTTTCAATTTAGTAAATGTGGCTCTAGCTTTCTCTATTTTGGTTCTGATTTCTTCAGAGCAATCATTATTTTCGTTGATAACAGTTCCCAGGTAATTATATCTTCTTGTGCTCCCAGGTAATTGGTGCATACATATTTTATATAGCGAGTTTGAAGCTGCTGAAATTTTGAAGATTAAAAGAAGCTAGAATCAAGACCAACAAGTTTTTTGCAATATTTGCAATTACATACTTTAATTTTAAATACTTTAATGAAATGAAAGCACAGGAAATCAATAATAGTAATATGTCGGTTACTGAGAATGGTTTTTGTTTATCATGACTTCTGGTCCTTAGCAAGATTTTCCTTTCTTGTAACATCCTAGTCTAGTCAAATTCTGTTACAAATTTTAACTAATGGATTATTGTTGCAGGAATCCGGTGGTGTTATGGGCGATTCCGCAACTGCTATGCGAGATCCATTTTTCTATCGCTGGCACGCAAATATCGATGATATATTCCAAAATCATAAAAACAACTTGGCTCGTTATACTGAACAGCAAGTAAGTATGTAAGAAGTTTTACTTTTTGCTAATATTAATTTATAAATTTAAAATTAATTAAAAAGAACAACAAGGTTTTAGGTCGGGAAGATCATGCACTGACGCTATACTTAATAATGAGGCAAGTGCAAGAGAAATCATTAGAATACAACAAACCGGCATATCTATGTTTTATGGACCTTAATAAGGCATTTGACAAATTAAAAGACGTTATTCACTTACTGCAAGCAACGTTCTCTACCATGGGAGGCTTTAAATGGCCAAGGGGTGCTAAGAATCTCCTCGAAGAAAAACAATTCTAGGAACCACCGGAAAGTGGGAAAAACCCCAAAGCTAAAACTGGGTACTTGGAACGTTAAAAGTCTTTTCACCGCCGGTAAACTAGACAACATAATACAAGAAATGGAACGATGCGCCCTAGACATCATAGGACTTAGCGAAATCAGATGGCCTAACAGTGGTAAATGTACTAAAGAAAAAGCGACACTATATTACTCAGGAAATATCCTACCCCATCAATATAATGGAGTTGGGTTTCTAGTTCCACAGAACACAGACTCAAACAAATCAGTAAGGAACTTGGTGGCATACTCAGATAGAGCAGCATTATTACAAGTCCAAGCCGATCCTGTTGACCTTAACACTATACAAATCTATGCACCAACCTTGGACAAGCCTGAAAATGAAGTAAAGCAATTGTATAAAGAGATTAAGGAGGTAATGAAACTGATCCAGAAGTACCAGACTCTTATAATCATGGGAGATTTCAATGCGAAAGTAGGGCGAGGACGTGTTGGAGATGTCGTGGGTGACTTTGGTTTAGGAGATCGAAACGAGTGAGGTGATATATCGAAAAACAATGACATACGCGGCAGAAACAGAACCTGATACAGAGAGGACAAAAAGGATGTAAGAAACGGCTTACATCCAGAGGGGATGTATGCATAGAGATGGAAACACTTAGAAAAATTTATGGTAAGACTCTATGGGACAGAGCTAGAAGTAAAGACATACGAAGTAGATGCAAGGTGGAGAACATCAAGAACTGGGCAAGAAATAGAAGAGTAGAATGGAGCGATCATATAAGCCCAATAACAACAAACAGAGTAGTAAAGATGACAAGAGACGGTTCTCCAATAGGACAACGGTCAGTAGGAAAACCACGAAAACGACAGAACGACTACTTACTGGAGGCACATTGAAAAACAGACAGACAGAGTCATATCTATATAAAAAGAAGAAAAATAAGAAAAAGAATAAGAAGAAAAAGAAGAAGAAATCTCTCACGACTGGACTACTTGTAGTTAATATTCAGTTATTTATATTACTATTAAGCGTTGCTTTTGTTTTTTGAGCTATGACTTTATATTACTATGTAACTAGCGGACCAACTCGACATCGAGTTTTTAAATGAAATTTTTATTTTGCGAGAAAAATTAAGAGATCAATACAAACAATATAAGCAAGAATATACATAACATTCATCAATAATAATGCGAGTAAAAAGTGTATTAAATATCACGAAATATTTCGTCGAAAACAATGTTTTTTGTTACAATGTCTCCATTTTCTGAAAACTTTTGCTTTTCACCGGGAGTTATGTAAACTTTTACTTTTTACTTTTTAATAAAAACGAAACCGGAAGTTGACCTCAAAACCGGAATGCAATTTTTAGTTCATCAAATGTCGACATGGATATCATTTAGCAGTTAATTTTGCATGCTGATCACGAATCCGGTATCAGATTTGCTCTATCTTGATGTTTTATGTGCGTTTCGGGTCACTTCCGGTGTCGGATCGCAACCGGAAGTACATATTTAGATTCGTCTTGACGAGACCTTTCGATCCATATATAGGTACATTGTGGGGTCTAAAACTTAAAGTAAATTTTAACTTCCGGTCATCTCAAAACCGGAAGTGAATACTAATAATATTCCGAAAAAATATTTTAATTATCTAATATGGTTTTTGAGTAAAGTGGTGGACAAGAAAAGGGCTTAGCGTTTTAGTATATAAGATACCTATAACAATAAACATTATTTTTACTTATAGTTAAACTTTGCTAATGTTGTTGTCCAAGATGTTAAAGTCCAAACGCAGAACACTGCTGATAACATATTTGAAACGTTTTGGCAACAATCTGACTTGGATCTCTCAAGAGGCCTGGACTTCCAAGAGCGCGGATCTGTTTTCGTGAGATTTACACATTTACAACACAAACCATTTTCCTATACAATCACTGTCAACAATACCAACAACAGTGAAACTGTTGGCACTTGTAGAATATTCATGGCACCCAAATTCGACGAAAAAGGCAATCCATGGCTTTTTAAACATCAAAAGAATATGTTTATTGAGTTGGACAAATTTACAGTAAATCGTGAGTATGATTTTATTATTAAATATTCAAAAAAAATTTTATTTAAAAAATCGAGAAAAAATGTATTATTTATTTTTATTTAAACATACAGAACTCACATCAACCACCAAGGGTTATTAGTGGGGGGACATACACAGTAGTACAGTTTGATAAATTAAAGTTTATTATAAATGTTTATGTTCTTTAGAAACTGCAATAAATCTGAGATAGTTGTCGTAAGCGCACTTCTCAGGTTTCCACTAATTCCTCGGCATGTTCTCTGAGGTTGGAACTGCGGACAGTCAACTATCAGATGCTTCACGGTGAGTTGAGTAGAGCAGTAGGTACAAATCAGAGTTGGTGGTCAGAGTATTCAGATGTAGGCGGGCATGCAGTCTTTAGTATTTTTAGGTCTTGTTTGACTTTGGTGGTGTGATCACGGTCTCTAGGTGCTCTTGAGGTTGCTACAATGTGGGAGGCTACTCTGTTGGGAGCTATTGGTACTTTGTCTCTAGTTGGGAGTTATAATAATAGAAAAGAACTCTTTCGGACTACACCACAGAACATTAATGAAATGATTATTATCTACCTACAAGTCCCTGTAGACCAGGGGTTCCCAAACTTTTTGTATCACGCCTCCTTTTGTTGAAATAAAAGTTTCTTGTGCCATCCACCTCTTAACAATAAATTGTATGGGCCTAGGAACAAAACAAAAACAAATAAGTATTACATAGAAAACAAAACATTTATTTATACTGCCATAAGATATAATAATATCAGTTTTTTAAAATAAAAAATTATTAATAAAAGAAATATAGAATAGGTTGGTTAGTGAGATCGATGTGCTTGGATTTTCTTTACTAGTATGCCTATTCGTGGTTGAGTTTTAGTAAGTGCACAACGCAAGTTACTAGGAACATCAAGTTTATTCCGATACTTTGTTTTAATTACCACCAGTGGTGACACCATAGGTGCTTGAAAACGAAGAGTTTCCCATGATAAACTAGGATACACTTTGAAATATTTTATCCAAAATGAAGGTTTGTCCATTATATTAAAAATTGTATTTGGCAGAGGAATCATGTTTTATTTGCAAAGTATCTTCTTGAAGTGATTCAGAGAGGAAGTCTATGTTGATATGGAAAGGGTCAATTGACATTCTGAAAATACTATCGTCACAAGTGTTTGTGAAGTATTTCTGTAATCTTCAATTAAATGGTTTGATATTTGGATTTTCAAACTTGGTCCTTCATAAACATCTTTAAAGCGTGTTTCTTCTGAGATTGACTCTACTTTAAAAAAACTCAAATAATTGCATAGGTTTGCTGACATTTTACGTCTCCAAAGTTGAAATTTTCCAATATACATCTCCATCGTATCACCATGAGTAATTATATTTGAGTTTCCACCCTGCAGTTTTAGATTAAGACTGTTCAACGAGTCAAAGATATCTGACAAATAAGCCAATATTACTTGGGTACAATGTTTTTTGAAGGCCACGCTTAGTTCATTTTGCTCTTGCTGTTCCAAGAAGATGATCACTGCATCTCGAAGATCAAATAATATTACCAACATGTTTCCTTTTGAGAGCCATCGTACTTCTGCATGAAATAACAGTGTTTTGTAATTACTCTCTCTTTTATTACTCTCTCTTTTATTTACATTTTTCTCTCTTATTAATTGCACAAATCCTAAGCGAGTACCAAGCATTGAAGGCGCGCCATCTGTACATACACCAATCAGTTTTTGCCAAGAGAGTTCATTTTTTTTATTAGAAAAAGATGTCGCATCCACCAAAACGTTATTAGCGACGGAACAAAATATAAATAACAAAGCTAAACATCTACAGATTGTTCCATTGAAGTATTGAGTTGAATGTTGTTAACAGATTCGGAGTTAGATGATACTGAACAATTGTCTACAGAAGAGTCACTATCTAAGTGAGAAATTACCTTGACGTTCTCTTTTCACAATAATAAAATAATAATTACGTATAGATGACTTACGTAGTAGTATCTAGTAGATAAACACTTTAATTTTAAAAAACTATTTAATAAAACCACTTGTTTTTATTAAAAACTAGGAGTACGATATCAGTACAACTTAACCACACCTTGCCAGGGCCGGTCTCCCAAGAGAGTTCATGTTTGTCAAAAAAGTAGCGAGCGTTCCATCTATTATAACGTGACGCAAGAAGAGGACCATACCTTCTCAATTTAATTTTAATTTTTTTTTCTGATAATTCACAGTTAAAAGTTTTTTGTAACAATTAAAACTCTTTATTTATGAAAATATTAGCAGTATTTTTATTATATATATTTACCATCATTGTGACAAATAAATTTATTACAACTATTAATAATATTTGAATACTCGATATTTTCAACTTTTAGTCAAACCCGGAAGTCACCCAATAACCAGGAAATCAAGCGATTCTTCAGTTACGATTCCATTTGGAAGAACTTACCGAGATTTGGAGGAAAATAGACCAGACAAAAGTGAAGTCAATGCATTGGCTCAATTTGACTTTTGTGGATGCGGTTGGCCGGAAAATTTGTTGATACCAAAGGGAAATGACCGATTTCAGGCAGAACTATTTGTTATGATTTCGGATTATGCTGGTGACAGGGTAAGTATTATACTAGGTTCGCTCTGAGCAGTCCCATTGTCGTCGCGACTTTTTCTAATCTTTGAAAAGCCTGTATCAGGTCTCTTTTTCTCCGTATTACTATGTCAATGTCATCTGCGTAGGCCAATATCTGTACACTTCTATTGATGATCGTACCGCTGGTTGTTATGCACGATTTCTCTATGGCTCTTTCTAACGCGATGTTAAACAATAGACTTGATAGACCGTCTCCCAGTATGTGTTTGAAAAGACCTTGACACTCTGTTTTGTACCTTGACTTTGCACTCAACTTTCGAAAGAGTTGCCTTCACCAATGTTATTAGATGCGACGGAATATCTAGTTCTGCCATGACATTATAAAGTGCGCTTCTGTCTACAATGTCATAAGCGCTTTTAAAATCTATGAAGAGGTGGTGGGTATCAATTCCATATTCATATGTCTTTTCTAAGGTTTGTCTAAGAAGGAGAATCTGATGAATTGTTGATCTTTCTTTTCGGAATCCTCATTGGTATTTGCCTATTTTATCCTCAGTATATACTAGTAAACGATCATAAAGTATATAAGCCAGTACTTTGTAAGCCGTATTTAGGAGGGTAATGCCTCGATAGTTGTCACATATTAGTGGATTCCCTTTCTTGTGAATAGGTATTATAATACCTACATTCCAACTGTTTGGGAGTTTTCCTTCTCTCCAAATGGATGCAATAAGTTTGATTATATATTTTCTTAGGACGTTTGCTCCACAATTGAACAGCTCAGGTGGTATACCATCTTCTCCAGGAAATTTGTTGTTTTTTAAGCTTTTTATTGCCTTGGTAACTTCTTCTTCTGTTGGTGTATTACTCTCATCGTCTACGTCTCCACTGTGTTCATTTATGTCAGTCACTTCTTGGTTGTTGGTATTTAATTCCTCAGCAAAATTCTCCTCCCATCTCTGCATTATTTGATCCGGCTCATTGATAATTTCGGCTTCCTTACTTTTTATTATGGATTCGCATGTGGATTATCATAAATTCGAATGACAGAGCCACCTGTCGTCACTGGAATTAATAAGCCATGGAAAAACGTCTTGAACGCCACAATATTGCGATGTTAGTCCAGGACGCTCTTTTGGGACATTGTCTTGAAAAAGACAATGCCTGTATGTTTGTTTAGGGTTGTAGAAATAAAACACACTATTCTGAAGCGAAAAAAAAGGTCAACGTCAGAGTCTTAAGTTGTTCGCGGAAAATTGCCGAGTCCTTCAAGTGAGGAGTTCGACGGCTACCCGCTTAGGGTAAAACCACTACTGAAGTGAGATCCGAAATTGTCCCATATTTAAAGTTATTTTAACTTTTATGTGAAACTTTTTCATTTCTCAACCAATTAAAATAATTAAAAGTTTAAAAAGGGAAGGACTAGGCAAAGTCGAGGCGCGTGATTGGTGCGCCTGGACGTCACACCCTTCATTTTCGAATACTTTGTGATGTCCTCTCGTAGGAGTCACTATCCGGGTAGCTTTTAGACAGTCAGAGACAGAGTTCAAAACAAAAATAAAACTTTATTGTCTTCCTTAAATTAAATTGACAAAAATCTTATGTACATATTTACAATTTGGTTTAGTCTTCTCAGTACCTGGCCTATTTATTCAAATTAAGTTTGACCTTGTCATATGAAATTAGTCTTATCGGCAAGCGAGTGTGTATTTGAAATTTTACGGGAACGTTGTATCGATTTAATAACAGCGGACGATAGATACAAAGAAAGGAAAGGAACTCAACACGTCCCTTAAGTGATTCGGGTTAACAGGACACTCTTCGACAGTCTCAATACGACTGCTTCAGAGTACGGGTAGTGAAGAGCTCAACACGCTTTTCGGGTAACGGCGGTATGGGACGGAATAACTTGTGAACTCAACGCGTCCACAAGCCGGGGTAGGGAAGAAGAGAACCTTCAGTCAACACCTGTCCATTCTGCCTCTATGAGGAAATGTTGCGGTTTATATAGCGGAGCTTTGTAATTAGTTTTGCCCTTTCTACTGTCGATACACTCCTACTTCATGGGTTGGTTCGCACGCACGCTGGTTTAACGGTGATGGCTTGGACTCATCGTTACAACTTTTACATTAAATTATAACTACTAGGTAATTTCAGTAACGACTGTTATAATAACACAATCAACAATCTACTTAATATATATTTTAATGAGGATAAGTCATTTGTTCTCATTCATAAGTAATAAAGAAGCAGTTATTTTTACCTTAACCGATTTACTCCATATTTTAATATTAATATTTTAATTTTAGGTTGACCAGAGCGTTACTGGAAAAACTACTGACGCAGGAAGTTATTGCGGCCTTAGGGATAAAAAGTATCCTGATCGTCGGTCTATGGGTTATCCATTTGATAGATTACCTAGAGATAATGTTACTAATCTTCAACAGTTCCTTACACCAAATATGTTTGTCAAGGATGTGATTATTCAATTCAAAAATCAAATAGCTACAGGATCTAACGGTATGTATCCCTAGTAGTGGAACGAATACACCGCCTGACAGGACAGTTCTTATAGTAGAGACTGGCCTGCCGAGAAAAGCGTAAACGGGTAGCATTTTATGGTATTGAATTGGCTACATTATTGTTGGGCCATAAAGGCACAAAGAGAATGATAATGAGAACATTTTTTTCTGTATCTTGTTTAGTGTTGAGTTAATTTGAAAATAAAGCGATTTTTTGGAAAATTCCGAAATTAGTGTCTTTACTTTAAACTCGGATTTTTTCAAAACTGAACCTTCTCAGCCAGTAAAACTACCAGAATGTAATGTTTATATATAAAAAAGTAAATTTTAAATGTACAACGAATAGTTTGTTGTAGCTTAATGTAGTAGCTTATACAAACGAATAGTTTGTAATGTAGTAGCTTACTGTTTAAAAAGAATAATAAATTTTTATTTTTAGTATTTAATCGTTATTTTTAATATTAATAATGCAGTTTCAGATCCACCGGCGGAAAAACCTGAAGAACCATGGTCACACCACCCTTCACATCCATCACATAGACATCCATCACATGGACCTCCACCACATAGACATCCATTCCATGGACATAGATTTGCAGGCCAATAAACCAACTGTGAGGATCAGGAATGTAATCATACATTTCGATAACCGCGTTTACTCCCAGCGAAGGGATTCAGTAATATTTATTCAGCTTTTATTTTTCATTGCTTACTTTATATTTATTATTTACATTATCAGTGCATAAATAAACTTGCAGGCTTTGGACAAACTTTGTAATATTTTATAAATAAATTTAAATATTGCTTGACCTTATATTAGGTGTTTTTGTTTTTCTAACAGTCTTAAACCCTGTCAATAACCTAGACGTTCTAAGTGATAAACCCCATATATAAAATATATAATAGATAAATTATATCTATTAGATATAATTTATCTATTATATATTTTACCAATATATAAATATAATAGATAAATACCCCAATTATACACTAGGGAAAGACCAACAAGTCTTCAGAAATGTAAAATCGACCACAGACGCTATTAACCTACTAACACTGATTGAAAAGTGCTACGAACGCGACATAAATTTACACCTTCTCCTTATAAACTTCCAGCAACCCTTTGACTCTGTGTATGAACACCAACTCTTACTCGAAACTCAAAACATTAATAAAGCAGGCAAACTGATTAGATTAGCAAATATGACAATGGACAACTCTAGCAGAAGCTATAACAGACGAGAGAAATACAGAATCTATTAAAATATAATTAGGAGTTCGAAAAGGTGACAGTCTGTCTCTACAGATTGGGGTAGATCTGTGAAAAAAGGACTTAATTTGGATGTGAGAGGTGATGGAAATAGAGGATACTGGAAACAGCTGAAATTAGAATACTCAGAAGAATTACAGGAAACACGTTAAGAGACTTCGTTATTTTAAATGTGTATATCGCTTTCTTCTTCTTCAAGTGCCATCTCCGCGGCGGAGGATGAGCTAAGACATTAGCCAACGGCATAAGAATACGTAAGGCAACGCGAAACCACTGTATTAAAGATCGTAAGATATCCCTAGTCGAATCATCATGAAATAAGAAGACAGAGTAAGCAGACGTGTACTGATCATGGGTATCGGAAATAAAGATCTGCCAGGAAACGAGTCAGGACGTTTCAGATGGTCAACCAGCGAAATATCTACCAGAAAAAGAAAAAAGCAGACCGTCAATTTAAAAAAGCATGTTCGAACCCGGAAAAATACACAATGTAATCCAAGCAATGAAAAGAATTAACATCAATATTTTAGGAATAAGTAAAACCCGATAGATGGAAAATGGAAAATATAAAGTTAGAAACTATACGATATACTATTCGGTTACTCGTCTTTTTCGTCAAGTGCCATGTCCGCGGCGGAGATCGGCAATCATCATAGCTATTAGGACTTTTGACACGGCTGCTCTGAAAAGTTCATTTGATGTACATGCGTACCACTCTCTCAGGTTGCGCAGCCATGACATTTTACGCCTCCCTATGCTTATCTTTCCTTCAATATTTCCCTGCATAATCAGTTGGAGCAAGGTGTATTTCTTTCCACGTGTAATATGTCCGAGATATTCCAATTTTCTTGTTTTAATTGTATATCGCCTACAGAAATACAAAAAAAGGAAATTTTTAGATTTTAAATCCTATTATTTCCAGAGCTATGTCTAATGTAGCCCCTACATCAAATAATACCCTATATAACTGGTACTAAAACCGATACCTACTTAATTTTAAAAATAAATATGAAATAATTTAATAATAAATAGATTATACAGATAATTACTCGTATAATAAACAAAAACAGATTTTTGCATATTTATAGCAACAACAATAATTTTATGAAGGTATAAATTTATCTTAAGTCTGCTAACCACAAATCTTTCGGATAGAGTTTTTTTTTATTATCAATGGTCTGCGGTAAGGTGAATCCGGGAAATTTTTAACACATTAAGTTATCTAACCAGGTGATTCTCACTTCAAAATGAGTGATAAAGACAATAAAATATATAATATTCTTGATATATCAGGATTGTCGGTTTGAAATTGAAACAATTATAATTTCTCATCAACTTTATATTTCGCCAATGCATTGTTGGATTCTTAAAAACTGCGCTACAAATTTATTAACACAAAGAATAAGCACCATCTTCTTTTTTTTCTTCTTCTGCCTCTTTATAAGCAATTATGCTTGTTCATTGTCGGATTATTACTTCTATGGAAGGTTGTCACTCCATCTTTTGCGCGGTCGGCTGACTGGTAACTTATCTCTTGCTATTTTGACGACACATGTCTCCTCCATTCTGCTTATGTGGTTATTCCATTTTTTTTTCTATTTTGTGTCCATTAATTTATACACTGTACGTTATATTTTCTTCTAATGTTTTCACTTCTCTTTCGATCTCTCAGCGTATTTCCTGTAATTCTTCTCAGTACTCTCATCTCTGCCGTTTCGAGTAGCCTTTGCATTGTGGCTATCTCGGGTCTTGTTTCTGAAGCATATGTCATTATTTATCTTACACTGGCTTTATAAATTCTTGACTTCATCTCAGGATTAATGTGTCTATGTCGCCCATTTTGCCAGTCTGTTTGCTTTTTGTACTTGATCTCTCACTTCTTTGTCCAGGTCTCCATAGCAAGACCATGTAGTTCCCAGATATTTTATTTTCATTACTTATTCAATATTAATGCCATCAATTTCTATTTTACATCTGGTTGGGTCTTTGCTGACTACTATTGTTTTGGTTTTCTGATTTGAGATTGTCATATTAAATTCTTTTGCTCTTATGTTAAATCTGTGAACCAGTCTTTGTAGACTATCTTCGTGTTGGCCTATCAATATTGCGTCGTCTGCGTAACAAAGTATTTTTATTTCCTTTTTACCCATTCTGTATTGTCTTTCTTTGTTAACGCTTTTAAAGATTTCATCCATAATCAAATTGAAAATCGTGGGGCTCAATGAATCTATTTGTGTTATTCCGCTGCCTATTTCTATAGGTTCTGTAAGTTGTCTATCTATTATGACTTCCATTTTATCGTTTTCGATAGTTTTTATAGCATTTAGGGAACTTCTCTATTATACAGAAGATGGATTACACCTTTGAGTTTTACTCTATTAAACGCGTTCTTTAGGTCAATCAGACACAGAAACCCTGGTCTATTATACTTTAGTGATTTCTCAGTAATTTGCTTTATAACGAATATTGCATCTGCACACGATCTTGCAGTACAAAAACCCTGTTGTTTATCTGCTAAACTTATCCTCTAATTTATTACCACTTTTAAAATTTTAGTTGTAAGTTTTGGCATAGTATTTACCAAGTTTATATCTCTGTAGTTTTCTCGCATTCCTAAGGACATTGGCGATCATCATGGCCCATTTGACTCTATCTGTAGCCGTTCTGAAAAGTATTATTGACGTTTTCCCACTCCATTGTCTCAGATTCTTCAACCAGAACGTGCGTCACCAATTCATCATCAAAGTCATCAATTCGCATTTCTCGTTTCTTAGTATGTGACCAAAGTAGCTCATTTTTCAAATCATGAATGTGTAGCTTGTGTGAGTCCATTTCAAATAGGTAAAGAAATAATAAATAAGACTTACTCACAATCAATTTAATTTAACTATTCAGACGACCGGTTTCGCTTTCTACAATATGCAAAGCATCTTCAGGTCTCGATACAAAGTTAAATAAATGCTGAAATGATAAAAACCTATATTAGGGTGTTGTGTAATAAAGATAAACAAATTAGATGTTATAAATTACAATAATTATGCCAATATTACATGTCTGTGGTTTTTTCAAAATGAATAAAAATGAATAAAAAAGTATAAAAAGTTTAAACAGACAAGGTAAGACACACAAATTGTTATAAAATAGTCTATTAGACCGTAATAAATTCATAACTGAATAAGCAAATAAATAAACATTACTTACATGCCGGTATTGTATTAATTGATGGATGGTAGAACATGGTTGAAACTATCATGTATTGTTGAATGGAGAACTTAAGTCTGCTATTGTAGTTGTTTGACAGTAAACGGGAAGTTCTTGAGGAGATAGATTTGATCCAATGAAGTAGAGATAGGTGTGTGATTGTTAGATGAAAGTGATGTTATATACCATTGTATTATTTAAAAGTTATTTGTATTTATTCGAGAGATATATTTATGAAATGTGTGTTATTTATTGAGTATTTGTTTTATGAAGGTGACAGTTTTATGACAATAAAACAAAAATTTTATTGTATAAAATAAAAATTTTATTGTCATAAAACTGTCACCTTTATAAAACAAATACTCAATAAATAACAAACATTTCATAAATATATCTCTCGAATAAGTATAAATAACTTTTAAATAATACAATGGTATATAACCTCACTTTCATCTAACAAACAATCACACACCTATCTCTACTTCATTGGATCAAATCTATATCCTCAAGAACTTCCTGTTTACTGTCAAACAACTACAATAGCAGACTTAAGTTCTCCATTCAACAATACATGATAGTTTCAACCATGTTCTACCATCCATCAATTAATAAAGTACCGGCATGTAAGTAATGTTTATTTATTTGCTCATTTATTAATTTATTACAATCTAATAGACTATTTAATAACAATTTGTGGGTCTTACCTTGTCTGTTTAAACTTTTTATACTTTTTTATTCATTTTTATTCATTTTGAAAAAACCACAGACATGTAATATTGGCATAATTATTGTAATTTATAACATCTAATTTGTTTATCTTTATTACACAACACCCTAATATGGGTTTTTATCATTTCAGCATTTATTTAACTTTGTATCGAGACCTGAAGATGCTTTGCATATTGTAGAAAGCGAAACCGGTTGTCTGAATAGTTAAATTAAATTGATTGTGAATAAGTCTTATTTATTATTTCTTTACCTAGCTCATTTTTCTTTTCTTTAGAGTGTTGAGTATTTCTTTATCTTTTTTCATTCTTCGTAGCGTTTCCGCATTTGTTATGTGTTGTGTCCAAGATATTTTCCACATCCTTCGATAACACCACATTTCAAAGTTAATGAGTCTTCTCTTTGTCGCCTCTGTAATTGTCCAGGCCTCAACTCCATACAACAGGACAGAGAACACGTAGCATCTCAATACACTAGTTTTAATTTGAATGTCGAGTTTTCCATTGCATAATATTGCTTTAATCTTATTAAAAGCTTTTCTAGCTATCTCAATACGCCGTTTGATACGCCAGTTCGCAACCTAAGTACTGATATCTGTGCACCCTGCCTAAAAGTTTTCCTTTAGCATAAACACTGTCTTCTTCAATCTTATTCTTGCTTACCACCATGATTTTTGTTTTATTTGTATTTAGTGCTATTCCATACTTTTCGCAGTATTGTGTAATGCGATCAACCAAGATCTGTAGTCCTTCTCTGCTGTCTGCAAGGATTATTGTGACATCTGCGTATCTAACATTATTCAGAAGTGCTTCGTTAATAAATATGCCTTCATTTGCGTATTCTAATGGCTCTTTAAACAACTCTTCTGAATACATGTTAAAAAGTAAAGGGGGATGCACACATCCTTGTCTTACTCCACGATTTATAGGTATTTCTTTCGATTTTTGTTGGTCTATTCGTATTATGGCTATCTGATATCGGTATAGATTGGCAATGATTCTCATGTCTTCGTCATCTAATTCTGTTTTGTGCAGTATTCTTGCCATTCCTCGGTGTAATACTTTGTCGACAGCTTTTTCAAAGTCGACTAGACATATGAATACATCGCAATTGACATCTCGACAACGTTTGATTAGTGTTTGTACAGTAAATAGTGCTTCTCTGGTGCCAAAGCCTTTTCTGAATCCCAATTGGTTTTCAGCTATTTTATCATCTAGCTTTTTATAGATACGTTCATGTATCACTCGTAAGAACACTTTTAGAATATGGTTCATCAAGCTAATTATCCTGTGCTCTTCACATTTGATTGCGTTTGATTTTTTGGGTATTGGAATGAATATTGATATTAACCATTATTTCGGAATCTCTTCCGAATAGTAAATGTCATTAACAATGATATTGGACTCAACGAGTCTCCTTGGCATAGGTACCTATTGATTGCAATATTTTTAGTTGAATTGTTTTCATCAGGTATTTGAAGGGGAATTTTTGTCTTCAAATTTGACATAGAGGTCAGCATGTTACCATTAACTATATATTTTTAACATATCTTAAGTCATTTATGCGGCGCTGAATCAAACGCTTTCTTGTACTTATGTGGTCTATGAAAGCAGTAGGTAATTTGTTCTTTGCAACCCATGATGCCCTTAGCGCATTCTTTCTGTTAAGGCTCTATGATGTTGTTCAGAGCACAGTATTGCTAGATACGCTGGACTACACAGGATGTGACCAATTTGTACAAAGTTGGAAGACAAGTAATTGGGCAGTACTTGGCTCGATCTTGGGTGTTATTTTAATCCTTCCGTATTAAATTAGTGGTTACTTAAGTTAGAAATAATGGAGTTTCGTGCGGATTAGAAATAACATGATAAATAAAAATTGCGAACTTTTGAGCTCCATCTGGTCCAGGTGATTTCCAGTTATGAAGCTCTTTGATAATATTTGAGTTTTCTTCAGTGGTTAAAGGTTCGTTAGGAATATTGTTTTAATCTTGACATTTGTTTCTCGTGTCTTTGATCTATCTAGTATTGGTTATATGAGTAGCTGGCGTTTAAAGTTCATTTCCCCAAAACTCGTGAATTTCTTCTTGGCTTGGGTATGATTTATTTTCATTTTCTACAGTAAAATCTAGCTTCCTATAAAACGTCTTATATGCATGCTCAAAAAATATATGATTGCATTTCCATTACTAATTTTGTATCTCCTTGCAGCCTGAATAAACGGGGAGTTTTTGTATTAATGTGTCCAGGCATTGTTGAGGTGTTGTGTTCTGCATCGTGTTGTGAGGATATTAGAGTGTTCAGCAATATTTCTTCAACTTTTTTAAAGATTTTTATACTTCTTACTCTTCGAAAGTACTCTATTATTTGTCCAATATGCCTAGGCAATAATTAAATTTTCCTCAGCAATCGGACTTCTCAGGGTGCAATTCTGTTATCAGTCCTTCCGATATTAGTAGTCTTGTAGGGACTTGATCTACAACTAGCTCTTGCGACGACACTATGTCAATGTTTCTAACCTGTGTGTCCATTATTGGAACAATATTTTCAATATATTATTAATTTTTTCTCTAATAAAAATAAGTTTTGTGTTTTTTGTTTTTTTTTTCGGATTGTAAATATTTCTCTAAATTTCTTTAAATTTTTTAAAGATACTTCCAATTTTGTTATTCTGCTTCACGTAAACGGTGTCAATAATATATGTTTATAAATAATCTGTAAGTAATATCGAAAGTTTTGAATTACCTGAAATATGGAAATTTTAAAAGGAAACGGTAGACCAAGTATCGAGATAACAACCTATCAACATTATATCGGGCACTTAGTGGTTTTTGCATAATATTATATAAAGATCATCCGAAATGGAAAAACTACAGTCGCCATAGGTGGTCGTGTGATCTTAAGAGTAGTATACCAAGTAAGTACTTTTAACATTTTTTTTTAATATTTAATTATATTATCTGGACCTGAGTATTAAAAGGGCCAAACTTCATTTCCGTTTGCTTTGAGTAATAAGCAATTTAAGTTTCAGGAAAATCAAAATGTCAATTTTAAATTTAGATAAAATAGATTTTTGATTACTAATAACGAAATTTTAAGTAAAATAAAGGTAGTATTTTCTATTACTAAATATTATATTGTCAAATGTTTAGTATGTTTGAATTTTGAAGGACTTTGGCCCTTTAAAAATTAAGAAATAGTAATTTTTCTTGAAGATTGGCCCTGGAATAAAATAAGTATTTTGCAAAATTCGTTTATTTTAGAATTTAAAAAATAACATTGCTCAAATATTAATGTTAATTCTTTTTATTTCTTGGATTACATTGTATATTTTTCCGGATTCGAACAAGCTGGTCACATTTCACGTTCCAATTTTAAATTGACTTTTTTCTTTTTCTGGTAGGGATTTCGCTGGTTCCTCCTCAATCCTTTAGCCCTTGTCAGGGCGTAGTGACACCCTAAATATTGCTAGTCTGCTGTCTCCATTAACTGCGATCTTGTGCCATATGGACGGCTTCATGTAGGGATTTTCACAGCAAACTCTTCATTTGGTCTACCCATCGTATTAGAGATCTTTCTCTTGGTCTTCGGCCTTCTACCTTTCCTTCTACTACCAATAGTTCCATGGTGCCCGTTCTTCTATCCATGTGGCCGAAGTAAGTTAGGTATACTTGGTTTACTTTTTTTAGTAGCCTGTCTTTTATATGAAGCTCTTCCAGAATTGACAGGTTGGTTCTATGTTCTGTCCAGGACACGCGTAGAATTCTTCTATATACCCACATTTCGAAGGCTTCGATCTTACTCCTATCGATTTTTTTGAGAGTCCATGTTTCAGCTGCATATGTAGCAATGGGAAAAATAAGGGCATTGACCAACCTGAGCTTAGTATTCCTTGTTATTGTTCGGTCTTTCCATATTTTAATTAATTTAGCAGTTGCGGTTCGGGCCATTCCTAGTCTACGTTTGATTTCTGAGGAACAATCACCATTGTTGGTTATCAGAGAGCCCAAGTATACAAATCTGTCGACTACTTCGAAAATCCCTATTTGGCGTATATGCGGTAGATTATTATTTGCTCTGTCTACAATCATTATTTTTGTTTTTCCGGTGTTGATTTGAAGTCCGAATTCTTCACTTATTCAGCTTAGCCGTTCGATGATGGTAATCATTTCGACTTCATTCGCTGCTAGTATAAGTGTGTCATCTGCGTATCGCAGGTTACTGATTTTTCTGCCTCCTATAGTGATTCCTCCATCCCATTCATCTAGTACTTTTCTCATTATATATTCAGAATATATGTTGTACAATAATGGTGATAGTATGCAACCTTGTCTAGTTCCTTTCTCTGTTTTGAATGCATTTGAATATATTCCATGTACTTTAACTTTGGCTGAGTTTTTATTATACAGATTTCTTATTAGGTTAACTAGGTGGTTAGGTACTCCCATATTTTCCATTATACTCCAGAGAGGATGCCATTTTACTAAATCAAAAGCCTTTGTGTAATCTACAAAACAGAGCAACATTGGTATGTTATGTTCTCTCGCTTTTTCTACTGTCTGGTGTTGAGTATATGCTCACGCGTTCCCTTTCCTGGTACAAATCCACATTGTTCTTCGGCTATCTCTGAAAGTAGAAAGTTCTTTAGCCGTTCATTGACTATATGTAGCAGGATTTTGCTTGCATGAGGGATAAGGGCAACGGTTCTGTAATTGCTACATATGGTTAGTGATCCTTTTTTATGGATAGGGATCAAGGTTGATTCACACCACTCATCAGGCCATTCACCTGTGATCTATATCATGTTGCACATATCCAGCATTACATCTACGCCAATTTCGCCTATTGCTTTTAGAGTCTCCGCTGTTATGCCATCGATTCCTGGAGTTTTTTTGTTTCTTAGTTGGTTAAGAGCCTTCTCTACTTCTGCTCGTAAAATGATTGGTTCAGCCTATCTGATTGCATGTTTTTTGTGTTCTGAGACTGATGCGTCATCTTTTGAAGTGTCTTTGTATAATTCTGAGCAGTAATTTTTCCAGGTCTCTGCGATGCTCTCTATGTCGGTTTTTACTTCTCCATTAGAGTCTTGAATGGCTTGAAATTGTGGCTTGAACTCTCGGGCTAAATATTTAACTTTTTTAAATAGTTATTTAATCAGTAATTCAGTAATAATAATAATCAGTTAATTAATCAGTAATTTAACCAGTAATTTCGCTGGTTAACGACCTGAAAAGCCCTGACTTCTTTCCTGCCTGATCTTGGTCTCCGATAATCATGATCAGTACACGTCTGCTTACTCTGTCTTCTTATTTCATGATGACTTGACTATGGATATATTACGATCTTTAATACAGTGGCTTCTCGTTGCCTTCTGTATTCTTATGCCGTTGGCTAATGTCTTAGCTCATCCGCCTTTAGGGCCAGTTTTACAACACTACTACAAAAGAGTGCCCTGCTACTTACCAGCTCATCCGCCCGAAGCCGTTGGCCAGTAACTGGGGGATTGCTTATACCGACAATCTCTTGGACGTCAGAGCCTCGTTTGTTATCTGGCAGGATGCACCGAATAGTCGGATCAACAACATTACACGGGCAGATGAGGTTGACATTTGGATCGGAGAGGTTATACTTGCGCATCACTATCCCTTACATCCCATCGGGATGTTGTGGTCTGTTGTATATTTGTAACTAAACTTCTTTTTCTCTTTACGTCCTATATTTCACTAATCGTTTGTTAGCTTTATCAGGAGAAACTACTATATAATTTTAAATAAAGTTAATGGAAAAAAACAATGTTATAAATTATTAAACCTACAGAATTAAGAGTATTTTGAAACATCTTCTATTAAACTCCATTTTCAGTGGAACATTCAAAATTGTCACTCTATTTAATGATTTCAATGATGAGAATAGTTTTTATAAATTATTTATCGTATGGCAATTACAACACATTTAGAACAAAATTACAAACACTGGTAATATAGGTATATGACAAACTTTAAATAATTACAAACAAACATCAAGTGTATTAACATAATCAATTGACTCTGAAGTTGCAAACAGGAAGTCTTCAGGGCTACCGTTGTAGGATCTTGAGGGACACTCTTCAATAATGTGGTCGATCGTTTGGTTCTTCCCACAGTCACATTGAGGAGACGGATTCTTTCCCCATTTATGTAGCATGTATGCACATCTGCCATGTTCGGATCCTGTTTAGAGTGGACCATGTTTTACGTGGAAGATCAAAACCTGATGACTTGTGGGTAATACAGGGCATGTTATTTTGCCATGCATTCCATTCTTGGGACCATGCATTTGTGATGTTGAACTCCTCATGTATCATTCTTGCCGTTTTCATTGGTGGTTTTCTAGAACGTAGACGGGTATTTCGTGCATCCTCGGTATCTTGGTAGATCGGCAGGTTTAAATTGTTCATGATCTTTTTGTATTCACGTGTAAGTGCGTCAACTCGTCGTAAATGTAGAGGTGGAATGTAACTTAATACTGGAAGCCATTGGGTGGGAGTTGATTTAATTGTACCAGCTATTATCCTCATAGTGCTGTGCAGCTGAGTGTCGACCTTTTTTACGTGTGGACTGTGTAGCCAAACTGGGGCACAATATTCAGAGGTCGAGAAAACAAGGGCTAAAGCAGTGGAGCGGAGAGTGGAAGCCGGAGTTTTTATAAAAAAGTAATGCCACTTCTATCTGTATCAGAATATTGTTTTTTATAGAGTTTTTCCTTTGTTTTTTATTTCTACATAGTTTTGTGGTTATTCTACATATATCTTGGTAATGCTACTAGCAAAAAAAATTTATATTTTATTACGTGTATTATCAAGAAATATATTAGTTTTAGATTTACGTTCCAAAAATGAGTAAAAAGGAGAATTTACTTTTGCTATTTGATCGACCTACAGAACCTATCGTCCTACCAAAAGGCTCAGAAGGCGTCAACTTTAAAGTTCCTAAGCAGTATTTGGTAAGTCAGTGTTAGTGTTGATATGTTCTACTATGTAGTTTAATTAAAATATTTATTTCTTTGGATACAAAATTTATCTCCAAACTCCAAAATATATCAAAATTTATTAATATGTGTAATTGAAGGCATAATCGTAAATGGAAAAGTTGTATTCTTCGATGTGCAGACGATACTGTGCTGTTGGTAAGATAATCGGAAGATCTTTAACTTTTACTACAGATACAAACAGAACATACAAGAATCACAGGATACAGATTAATGTCTAAAATCTATGTATGTGATGTTTAGTAAGAATCCAATTCATTATAGTAACATTGCAATAAATTACATTTCTACCGACAAAGTGAAGAATTGTACAGATGTTGTTAGATTAAGTTGCCTATTATTTTGTTCAGCATACAGATTATGTTATACAGATATTATGTTATATATATTGTTCTTGTAATCATTAGTCAAAAAATGTTTAAAATAATTAATGAGCTCTTCTTACCTCATCTAGTAGCTCCTGGAGATTTTCTTTAGCTGCATCTGTCCCCTTTAAAGCAACAAAACATTATTATTGTTACAATAAAGATTCTTTATACTTACCAGCACGATATCATTGATTGCTTGCTGTGCAGTCAACAACTCTGTTTCTAACCCAACTCTGTCCAACATATGATTGCTTCTCTGTCTCGCCTTTGCCAACTGAGTTTTCAGCATTCCCCGAGTCTCTAAAAGTACTTTATTGTCCTCTCTTAGTTCATCCACTCTAACTTTATAGAATTCTGCATCTGCAAGTATTTACTTGATGTTCTATGGTTGAACCTGTTCTTTCAGATCTATTCTGGGAAATTTTAACTTGGAGTTCTTGTCCTCTTGGGAGCTGAAAAAGGCGTTGATGTTTCTGATGTAGAAATGGACGAAGAGTCTTCATAGAATTCATCTTCTGCATCAAAATCACCACCGAAATCAGAATTATTTGCATGTTCATCAGCAATCGCCTGTAATACAGCTTGCATTTGATCCTTAGTTAAATTTTAATTCCAATATAAGAATTCGGAAAAAGGACGTGATTTGGATGGGGGATGCCGTCATCTTTTTTGTTTAGACAATTTGACCTTTTTTAAATCTCTATGGCTGCTCGGATAATTCTTGGTTTATAGAAGCGGACGAGGGCTATATTTTTGGAGTTTTCAAAATCAATTTTGTGACCAGTCTCAGTTATTCATATTTTCTACTTTTTAAAAGAGTTTTAATTTCCTTTACTCTTATAAAATACACCCATAACTAAAAAAACCAATAATATGTTTTTTAGAAAGATGAATACCAAAAATTTGGACCGGAATTTGAAAATAGATTTGAAAACAGATTTGGAGGTGATGATAACAAAGTTACCGTCAAAGATATCTCTTTGCCTTCTTTAGGAGAAATAACTGACTTAGGAAGGGACGAAAATTTCTCTTTATTTATTCCTAAACATAGAAAACTTGCTGGACAACTAATCAAAATTTTTATGGGTAAGCTTAATGATGTTTTTTTTATAAAAGAACTTTTTTGCATCAAATTTAGTATATTTTAAGATATTTTTGTTTTAATTAGATTGTGAAGAGTGTAGTGTGTTTGCGGTTTTTTTGTTGCCTCGATCTTAAGCCTACTGAGTTTGATTCGTTGCCATTTAACAATCAACTTCAGTACTGCGTCCTGAATAATGTGGAATCTTATCTACATCGGATAATTTGTTAACGGCATTAAAATTCCAAATTGCACAGGCTGCACAATGTTTTGTAATTAACTGTATTTGTTATTTTAGGAATGAAAGATCCTGACGACTTAATGGCTGTGGCAGTATACGCTCGAGAACGTGTCAATCCTGTTCTTTTCAACTATGCATTTTCCGTGGCTTTGATGCATCGGTCAGATACTCGAGATCTAGATTTACCATCTGTTCTGTTTTCTTTTCCCGACAGATACATGGATGGTAAAGTATTTACAAGAATGAGAGAAGTTGCTAACGTTGTTCCAGAGCCTCAAAGGGTAAGAGAAAAATTACTATACTTTATCAATATTTGAAAGTCCAACTTTAGTTTATTAAGGACTTTAATAAATCACACCATATCCACACGCTCTGGTGATGCTCCTACTAATGGAAGGTTGAGCGCATTTTTTGAATTTCTGAAGAACTATTAATTAAAAAAGTTATCTAGGACTTCGTAGTCATCAAAAATGCAGTTGACTCCTTCAGATCCTTCTATTTTTCAATAATAGAGCATACAAGAAAAGTATTTTTACTGTTTTTGGTAATAAGGTTTATACAGCACATTACACACAACTAAGCGGGCCTTACTGCACCAACGTCTTCTCGGATCAGTTTATCAGCCCTCTTGTTGCTTATAGTGCCCTTTATGCCCATGTAGTGCCGGGCTTTCGCCGTATTAGAGAGACGGATTGTACGTTTTAATTTATTTTATAACTTAACACTTATAATAGACACTAACTTATATCTATACGGCCATGATCCCCTACAATAACCTGCTAACTCAGCCTGTACTGAGTAATGTATCACATTTTCCCTTTTCTTAGTGTTACAGATTAAGCAAAACCTTCTTTCAGTATCGCCAGTTCAAACCGCCTCCCAATGCTTCAAATAGGTCATTCAAAAAAAGTGCAAAAAGTAATGAACTTAAAAAGACATCCCTGTCTCACTCCTACATTACACTCAAACCATTTAGATAGACCTTCCCTTGACCAGACTGCCGATATTGTATTCGCGAACATACTTTTTACCAAATTCAGTACTTTAGTAGATAATCCTAAGTGGCTCAACTTGTAAAAAAGGGTCCGTCGATCAACTGTATCAAAAGCAGCACTTAAGTCCACAAAAATTCTCCCTCCTAAATAGTCGGTTCTATATCCTGCCTGGAACTTATTTCAAATGTTATTGTTTTGTATCTACGAGGTAAGTCTGGTTAAAGTCAATGCCGCAATGAGTTTGGTTACTGCATTTAAGAAGCTTATAATTCGATAACTTTCTGCACTTTCCATGTTTCCTTTCTTATAAAGAGGAAAAAATATTGCATCATAAAAACCCCGAGGAAAGTCTGGTTTGACGAAAAAATTATTAGCAAGCCCAAGTACAAGTACGTTTCCACCTTCTGGAAGAAATTTCTCTCTGGACGAAAAAGAAGAAGAAATCAGCAGCAATTCTATCTACTGCTGGTGCTTTATTTGGTTTTAAAGAATCCAATGCTAGTTGAAGTTCTTCCATACTAAACGGCCGGTCTAATTGTTCATTGAAGATATACGGTTCTGCATTCAACACAGGATCTTCCGTTATCTCCGTATTTAAATGTCTTACTGCAAAATGTTGCAGTAAACTGTTTAAGTTAACACTTTTACTAATGGCCGAATTTCCAAACTTATACAGTCCAACAGCCTTCCAAAATTCTTTTGAATTTTTTGTATTTTTTAAACTCAATGTGTCATTCTTATAAAATTCTTTCTTTCTTAAAAGTCACAAAGGTTACATTCCCGTTTAACGTTCCTAAATATGTTCGTTGCATAAGTCGAGAAAATTTTTCTAGATACTCTGAGATATGACATTACTTGCTTCTTTTTTTTGAGCACTCACCATCAAACCATTGCTGGCTTTGTTTACACTCCTCCTTTGCCATAAAAAGCTTACGTTCTCTCTTGTGTGCTGATTTTTTTATATATTTCTGTAGTAACTCTAAAGTTATCTCCGGTTGATCAGTCCACTCATTCACCCTATTAATTTCACAAGACATTCTTTCTTTATACTTTTCCGAATCAGTTTGGGTCCAAGTAATTTTCGAAAGCAGTGGCAAAACTTTACTAGTTGATCTCTGACCGCCATCGTCGAAGGTCAACTCTACTATTAGAGGCATATGGTCAGAAAAATATTCACAACCAAAAAAAATATCTACTAAATTTAACATCGGTCTTGATACACATGCAAAACTTATGACAGAACTGCCTAACAGCCCTAAGAATGTATACTCCCACTCTATATCGCCTTTTATTCTGCTATTCAAAATAACCAAATTAAAGTTATCACATAGCGCAATTACCTTTTTCTAATGATGATTAATCAACTTATTTTTAGAAACTCTCCCTTCACTCAGGCTTGTCATTCTGTATACCCCATCTTCATCAAGCTCGTCACCTAAAACCCCTTTCTTCCCCAACCGTGCATTAAAATCACCTAAAACTAAACTATTTTCTACATTCTGATCTAAATTTTCTTCTAAAACCCTTTCAACGTTTTCAAAACAAAATTTCAAAATGTATATGCGATTACTAGAAGTATTTTAACAAATTTTCAGCAAACTTCATGTTTTCGTTTTTAAAAAATACTTTCTTCCAAGTATAAAGCGAGAAAACCAAACATACAATTTTGTTAATTTTCTTACAATAAAGATATAATCCTAAGAATCACTTATGAATTTTTTGAAAGTTTTTGAGTGTACAGTTTTGCCACAATAGGAAAAAATTATATGTCAATAGGAAAAAAATTACTGATTTTTGAAACTTTTTAAAAACATTTATTTTGTCCTGATAATAATATAGAACTTAAATTTTTATAGACACCGATTTTAATACCTATGGATTATACAGCATCTGATTTGGAAGACGAGCATCGTTTAGCATACTTCAGAGAAGATATTGGAATCAATCTTCATCACTGGCACTGGCATTTAGTCTATCCATTCGAGGGGCCAATGGAAGTTGTCAATAAGAATCGCAGAGGGGAACTGTTTTACTACATGCATCAACAAATTATGGCAAGGTGAGTATCCCCACTTGAACTTAATATGTTGGAAATAAACTAAATTATAAAACGTAATGATTTAAACAATGCTTGAAGTACACAACCTGTTCTTCTTTTTACCTAAGGTAAAATACTATTTATCTTTGACACTGGATCCATTCCACCAAGTAATCCTGCGTATTTCTAATGCTATCATCATCATCTTTGGCTCGACAATCCTCTGTGGATCTTGGCCTGCTCTAAGATTCGTCGCCATTCTGTTCGGTTTTTGGCAACATGTTGCCATCTTCTGATTTTTAATATTCGTAAGTCGGTTTCTACTCCATCTAACCACCTAATTGGCGGTCGGCCTTTGCTTCTTTTTCCTACAGGTGTTCCTGTGGTTAGCTTTTTAGCAATGGTATTTTCTGGCATTCGTATTATGTGTCCAGCCCATCTAAGTCGCTGTGTTTTAATGAACGTTATGACATCTGGCTCTAATTTCTAATGCTATATTCTTATAAAATATTTAAATAATTTTTCTGGATCAATAATTTGCAGTATGTATCTGCCATTATATCACCACGAAATTCTGATTCTATTTAGTGTTATTAAAAGTGTTTTTCTTTATTTGTTATATCCTACACTAAATTAATTGATTTCTTCTACGTATACAGTAGAGGTTTGTTATGTTTTATTCTCTTCTTTTCTAATCCACTTTACAATTTACAATTTCCGATTTACAATTTAAAGTGGCAAAGCACCATATATTCATCATTACCATTATATATAGCTACACTAACTTTCTATTTATATATAGATATAATTTTGAACGCCTATCCAACGGAATGAAACGAGTGGAAAGATTTACCAATTTTAATGACCCCATTCCCGAGGGATATTTTCCGAAGCTAGACAGTTTGGTCGCAAACCGAAGTTATCCTGCTAGAGTTCCGAATATGCGTTGGCAAAATTTACGACGAGAAGTTGACCAGATTTATGTCGATATAGACGAGATGAAGCGTTGGAGGGATAGGCTATTCGATGCCATTCATTCTGGATACGCCAGAGATGTAAGTTTCTTGTCTACTCGTATAAGATTAAGAATTCGATAATGGAATTGTGTAGGGTCTAATCTGATATTAAAGTGTATTTTTTGGTTGCTGCAAAACAAGGACTAAAAAGAGTTAACCATTTAAATCCGTGTTAGGATTGTGATTTAATCTGCTAAATGCCTTAAATAACACAAATTTCATATAGGGAGTGAACAAAAATATATTTTCAAATCAAAAACTAATTCCTATGGGATTTTTAGAATCATAAAATAACTAAACACGATTTTATTTTTACAACCTATATATTTTTTATCATTATTCATCATCATCAGTGGTGCTACAGCTCTAGTTGAGCCTTGACCTTCCCCAGTCTATTTCGCCAGTAGTTTCTCTTCATCGCCAACCGTTGCCAATTTGCCGCGCCGATTTTCCTTGCGTCCTCGTCCACACCGTCCCTCCATCTCAGTCGTGGTCTGCCTCTACTCCTATTTCCCACTGGGACCGATAATAGAGTTTGTCTGGGTGGGTAATTTTCATTTGCTCTTGACACATGTCCAGCCCATCTAAGCCTACCTATTTTTATGAAGGATATTACATCTCTACCATTTACTATTTTTTTATACTTCTCGTACAATTCGAAATTATATCGCCTTCTCCAAATACCATTCTCACAGAATGCGCCCATTATTCTTCTTAGTATCTTCCTTTCGAAGACGAGCAGAAGATTTGCGTCTGTTTTGGAGATGGTCCATGTTTCTGACCCATATGTCAGCACTGGTAGGATGATGAGTGTTCGATATATTATTAGTTTGGTTTTCTGGCTTAAATTTCTGTTTTTTAGCTGCTTGCTTAGTCCAAAATATCATTTGTTAGCTAGCAGTACCCTCCGTTTAACTTCTTCAGATGTGTCATTATCGTTTGTTATGAGAGAACCCAAATATGTAAACTTATTTACTACCTCAAAATTATATTGGTCTATACTGAAGTTTTGTTCGGCGTTTCTAGCTCTATCTCTGTTATTTGGAATAGATGCTAACATTTTGGTTTTTTCCTCATTTATTTTAAGGCCCATATTTTGTGCGGCTGTCAAGAAGCTGGAAGTCATCTCTTTAAGTCCTCGTGTAGTACGTGCGATCAAATTCCAGATCGTCAGCGTAAGCCATAATCTGCGTTGATTTATTAAAGATTATTCCCCTATTGTGTAACTCGGCATCTCTTATAGTCTTTTTTAACGCTATATTAAAGAGAAGGCATGCCAGCGCGTCTCCCTGCCGTAACCCTGCATATGTTTCAAACGCCTGTGACATATCGCCTTGTATTTGCACTCTGCAGATCACTTTACTCATAGTTGTTTTTACGAGCCTTATTAATTTATGGGGAATGTTAAGTTCATTCATGGCTTCGTGTAATTTACCTTTTAGGACGCTATCATACGCTGACTTAAAGACCACAAAGAGATGGAACGTGTCAATATTAAATTCATTGGTTTTTTCTAAGATTTGACGTAGCACAAAAATCTGGTCAATTGTTGACCTATCTGGCCTAAAACCGCTTTGATACTCACCAAGGATTTCTTCCAGGTACGTACTTAAACGGCTGTACAGGGTGTTGGAGAATATTTGTACATTGTATTCAGAAGAGTTATACCCCTATAATTTTTACATTCCAACAAATCTCCCTTTTTGTGCAGTGGACATATGATTCCAGTGCACCATTCCTCTGGCATTTGTTCTTCTTCCCAGACTTTGACTATTATGTTGTGAATTTGGTGCATAATGCTGTTACCTCCATATTTGATGAGCTCTGCGGGGATACAATCCACTCCTGGGGACTTGCTATTTTTGAGTCGTGTGATTGCGTCTTTCACTTCAAATATTGAAGGTTCTACGTGAGTGTTATTTCTTGGTCTTTGGGGTGACGCATCATTTTCCACTTCGGTACCAAGTAGTTCTTTGAAGTGCTCAACCCATCTGCTTTGTACTGCGTCAGCGGTACTGACTATATGTCCATTTTTGTCTCTACACATCGTCAGCCGTGGTTTAAGTTCTTTTCTTGTCTTATTTAGGATATTATAGAACTTTCTAGTTTCATTTTGCCCCTTTAAGGATTGAAGCTCTTGCATAATCTGGTTTTCGAAGGTCCGCTTTTTCCTTCGATGTATGCGTTTTTCCTCCTTCCTAAGATCTTTGTACATTTATCATTATTAGGCTTGTCAAGTATGCAAAATGCATGTATTGCATATTGTATGCAAATATCTAGAAATTTTACATATTTATATGTTTCCATTGATATTATGCATATTTTCTAAAAAAATGCATAATTAGTGCATATTTATGTACTTTTGTTTACATATTTAGAGATACTGAGATAGCTAACAGATTCGAGCAAAGTCTCGAAAGCAAGCTGGAAAGCTGCACGCATGTTATAGTTGCAGATATTAACAACTATTGGAGGCACTGTAGAGGCATATTGGAAGAAGAAGAACTGAAGTTATCGGAAAGGAAAAACGTAAAAAATAAGGTCAGACTGGTACGATGAGGAATATAGAAGACTCCAAGGGCGACGAACGAGACAAACAGAGGAAGAGTATAGGCAGCTGAGACGAGAAGAAAAACGAATACTTAAAAAAAAAGAAAAAAGAGCATATAAGGAGCCAACTAAAAGAACTAGAGAACTATAAGTCACATAGACATATCTATGGAGAGTAGAGGAGGGCGGATTATGGCGTGGACGCTATAATTTCGAACTTTATTACCTATATGACAAACCTGATATTATTAGGTCCACCAAAATAAACCGACTGCGGTGGTTAGGTCACATAGAGAGAATGAATGAGATGGAGCCGCTAAAACATATTTATAACCAAAGAATAGATGGAGTGAGAAGATGAAGCAGACCCAGAAGACGATTTAAGGATCAGGTGGAGGAAGACTTGAGAATATTGGGAGTACGAAACTGGAAAGCCAAGGCGAAGAATAGAAGAGAATGGAGACATCCTTGAGAAGGCCAAGACCTACCATGGGTTGTGGAGACAATAATGATGTGATCTTCTTCTTAAAGTGCCTATCCGTTCCGGATGTTGGCGATCATCACGGCTATCATTACTTTGTTTACTGCAGCGCGGAACAGTTCAGTGGTAGTCGTGTTATACCACTTTCGTAAATTTTCTTCTCTTCTTCTTCTTCTACTTTTTGTAGATCTTTCGATCTGTTTAATTCTGAAGCTGCCTCTGGTTAATTTCTTGGGAGGTAGATTGCCAACTATCCCTCCATCTTTTAGGTGGTCTTCCGGGGGGTCTTGAACCGGGCGGATTGTTTTCTAGGGCAATTTTTGGGAGTCTATTCTCATCCATTCGTCTTACATGGTTGTACCACATCCTCTTGCGCTGCCTTCCCCATCTTACAATATCTTGAATTTTGCACTGCTCTCTAATGTTTGTATTTCTCACTCTGTCTCTTCTTGTTTTCCCCATTATTGTTCTTAGGGTTTTCATTTCGGCAACCCTTAGCATCTGTTTCGTTTTGTTGGTATCTTCGCGCACTTCTATGCCATATGTCATGATCGGTCGTATGCAAGTCTTATAGATTCTAATTTTACTATCTGTGCGCATATACGGATTTGACCAGACTATCTCCCGCAGACATCCTGACAGTGCAGATGCTTTGTTGATCTGACTCCTCAGGTCCTTTACTGGGTCGTGGGTGCTTGATATATCTATGCCCAGATATCTGAATTGCATCACCTGTTCTATGGGGTTGTCCTCAACCACTAACTTACATCTGAGCGGATCTTTTGCTATTGTCATACATTTAGTTTTGTTGGTAGAGATGTTCATATTTAGTAGTCGGCTTGTTTGAAAGAACTGAAAGAGCTGCCTTTGGAGATCATCTTCTGATTCGGCAATAATTGCTGCATCGTCTGCGTAACACACCATACCAATTCTTTTGTTGCCCATTCTATATCCGAGATTAAGAGATGTTACTTTGTTGATAATTTTGCCCATGAGAAGATTAAACAAGAAGGGGCTTAAACTGTCGCCTTGTCTAATTCCTCCCGGTGTTGGAATATTTTCAGTGAATTCGTCTCCTGCTCTAACTTTGGTTACGTTGTTGTTATTTAGGTTATGGAGTATCTTTGTTATACTGGTCGGTGTTTCATTTTCTATTAATATATTTAGAATGTCTCCCAGGCGAACTCTGTCAAATGCCTTCGTCAAATCAATGAAGCAAATATACGCTGGCATGCCGAACTCTATAGCTTTTTCTTTTATTTGTTTTATTATAAATACTGCGTCTGTTATAGACCGCCCTTTTGTAAAACCTTGTTGTTCTTCAGCATTAGTGATTTGCTTTTCCAATTTGTCCTTGAGAATACCCGTGAAAAGTTTCATTGTTGTATTTAAGAGGGTTATTCCTCTATAGTTTTGTGGGCAGGTTTTTTGTCCTTTTTTAAATATGGGGATTGTGATACTATTATGCCATTCCTCTGGTGTTTCTGTTTTGTTTAATATTTTGTTAAATAGTTGTGCCAGTTTACTTGCAAGTTCCGGGCCTCCATATTTTAAAAGTTCATTGGGTATACCATCCGTTCCCGGTGATTTTCTGTTTTTTAGCTTTTTGATCTTTGCTTCTACTTCTTCGTCATTGATTGTAGCACTCACATCTATTTCGCCTTCGTTTATATTCAGCGTTTCTTCAGCATCATATAGCTCTTTAAAATGCTGTTGCCATGCCTCTATAGGTACTCCTTTGGTCTGCACGAACTCGTTAACTGGTTTTTTCCTGTTGCAGAGCATTTTCCATACTTTCTTTTGGGCACCATATAGGTCGTAGTCCATGTCGCAAGTGAATTTGGCCCAATGTTCCCTTTTGATTGATTTTATTTTCGTAAATTTTGAAGCCAGGAAATGCGTCTTCTTCCCGGTCCTCTCTTACCATTTACCTTCCCTTGGAGAATCAGCTGGAGAAGGCCGTAACGTCCTTGATTTCTCATTACATGTCCTAGATATTCCAACTTTTTAGTTTTGACGGTCATGAAAATTTGACATTCTTTCCCCATTCTACACAGGACCTCCACATTAGTAACTCTGTCAACCCAGGATATACGTAAGATGCGCCTATAACACCACATTTCGAAAGCTTCGAGCCGATTCATAGATGCAACAGTCAGTGTCCACGCTTCCATTCCGTAGAGCAGAACTGTGAATAAGTAGCAGTTCAATAGACAGCATTTTGTTTTTAATGATATGTCTCGACTGTTGAAAATGGTTCTCATTCTAACGAATGCTGCTTTTGCTTTTATTATTATAGATATGTATATTGTTCGACTCTTTCTCGAGCAATGATGTGATGATGTTTACATATTTGCCTATGTCTAACTATTATCATATATTATTTGGTTAATTAAAATAAATATATCCTGCAAAGTTTGTTAAATTTAATATCTTTATTATATTTAATTTACAGGAAAATCGCAGGCCAGTCGAATTAACCGAATACGAAGGAATCGACATTTTGGGTAACATGGTAGAATCCAGCATTCTCTCTCCAGATCGAGACTATTACGGTGATTTGCATAATATGGGTCATACTATGGCTTCCTACGTTCATGATCCTGATCACAGACATTTGGTGAGTTATTAAATATTGTTGATTTAGATTATTAGTCAAAGCTTTTCTGCCTTTATACTAGTTCTCGCCAAATTTACCAAAACAATTGGAATGTTAGAATAACACGGTTGACTATTATCATTATTATAGTCTGTTACCTCCACTATAGGCTTCCATCAGTTGTCTTCAGTACCTATTCCAGATCTTGTGCCTTAAGTCCAGTCTATTATTTGAATAAACTGAATTTACGCGACAATTGCTATTTTCTGTATAGCACGATGTAGTCTTTTACTATTTGGACTATGGGTCATACCTTTTGGGTCACGAATTTTGCCAACCAGCCGGTATCTGTTTAAAAGAACGATTTTTGGATGTGAAGCATATAATCACAGTTTTTTTGCATAATTCGCTCCAAAATATCACTAAAAATGATAATTTTACTATGAGCGAGTTGTAAAATGCGGGTTTAACTTTTTAATAATCAAAATATGAAAAAAATTTAAAAAAATTGATATTTCTCTTTTTTCGCATATACCTAAAGAACTAATAAATTTGGAATAATTTGGTACCGATTATAAAAGTTTGATTTACATTTTACATAAGATGGCGCTAGTAACACATCTTAAGAAATAATTTTTATTATTGAAAGAATACTAGAAAGCACAAAAAAAAATAGTTAAAAAAAGATTTTTTTGTAAGTATCTTTTCTAGACCAAAATCAAATTTAGGACCTTCATATTCCGAAACAAAAATCTTTAATTATATTTAATTATCACACAGAATTTCATTTTGTAGTGAATCACATTTTAAATGTTAACAACACATTTTAAAACTCACGCATATTTAAATTATCATTTGTAGTGATATTTTTTGAGCGATTTATACAAAAAATTGCTAGTATATCGCACCTTGAAAACCATATGGCAATATCTGCAATTTTTTCGTGAAATGACCTTTGAATGCAGTCTAATAGAAAAACAAATCTATTTTTTAATGTTATATAGCAGCATCTACTACAAATTTTAAATTCGGCACCAGAAAGATACGTCCTTATGGCTTTTCTAAAAAATCGATTCTTTTTTATATACCATCAGGCATTATCTGCAGTTGTTGCTCTATGGTTCTAAAATAGGAACAAAAACTCGTGAGTAAACAATCGTGTTTAATTAAGTTAAACGTAGTAAGAAGCAATTCAAGAACCATGAACAATAGAATATTGAATTTTCTACAATTTTGTAGTATATTTTTCGTGTAATAAATGATGTTGGATTAACCCTTTGTCGACAGACTATACTTAAAAGTACCATAATGTTGCCAGGTCACATTTATAAAAGTGTCTACATTTGACTGAAAAAAATCACTAGAATTTCACTAGATTAAAAAAAAAAATTCTATGGACTAACATAATGTTATATTTTCGCAATATTTTCAATTCATAAGTGAAAGCCCTTAACGTAAATATCAATATAATATATAACAATAACAATAATTATTATGCAGAAGGAATTATTCCAAACAACCATAATTCAAATTTTATTTAATAAAATAAAGAACGGGACCGAAGTGCTCACATTATCTATTTGAAACAATTTTTATATAATATTAAATAAAATTACATAAAATTTTGCGAAGAAAAAGGTACGATGTTCGGAAATTACACTACGTTTGGGACCATGTTTAACACGGACTTTGATATAAGCTTCTTTAAGCCCAAAAAAACTTCTGCTCGCTATGTGAAAGTTACAAAAATTTATTAGATAAATCTACATTGGAAGCACCCTATAATACTCACCGTCAAGAAGTGGAACTTAGTAGAAAACAGAAAGAAAATGAATCAAAACCTGCAAAATCCAACACTTGCATTACTGCTTGTTTTGACTTACAAGCCGTCCGACACCTTCAGGCGATGTACCCTTATTTTATTATAAAAGGAGATTATCAACATTTAATTTTACAATTTTTGACATGACCACAAATGCAGGACTGCTGGCTTTGTTTCGAAGGAATTGTTAATCGTGGTCGTGCAAATAGCGTCGTGCCTATTATTTCTGAGGAACCATGCCAGAGAACAGGAAATAATATTAGATTCCGATAACTGCAGTGCGCAAAATAAGAACAAGTATATTGTCTGTCTTTATCTCTATGCAATACAGAAATTGAACATACCTAACATTACCCACAAATTTTTGATAACGGGTCACTCCCAAAATGAGGGAGAAACATGAATTCTTTGATTAAGAAAAAAAAAGGGGCGTTAAAAAGAAGAACAATTTATATGCCTTTCGCAATGGGTCACAGTAGTTCAAACTGCGAAAAAATCAGGTGAACCTTACAAAATTAATGAAATATCTACATCTGATATATTTTACTTTAAAAAATTATATAAGGAAATAAGAAACAATTATAACATTGGCGAAGAAGGAGATCTGGTCGTCTGGAATGAGATTAAGATGATCAAGGTGAAGAAGACACTTGAAAATAAGTTTCAGGTTAAGACAAGCTACCACGATACAGAGCTCAGACCTAGTACTATGAGGCTAAGACAACGAGGGTTGGTGGCTAATACGGAACTAAGTACAGCATATCACATCCACCAGGAATATCTACTCTAAAAAAACAAGATCTGCACTAACTATACGGCTAATGTTATTCAATAGCACTACCATAGGTTTTATGCAGTTTTACATGTAAACAACGGAACAGTAGAAACCGAACAAACAGATTACAATATGCATGACTTTGATTTAGTGTTAAAACCAAAAAATTTTAATTAATAGGTACAATCCTAAATTAAAAAACTTTTATTCGATATGAATTTTACTGCATCATTTTCCAAAATTATTATATTTTTTAAAACCATATGGCCGTATGTGCTAAAATACCTATTTCCTGAAGGAAATCCCACATACTTCTTACTGCATATAAAAATATTCAAAATTAAAGACAATTACGGTAAATATCAGGTTTGTAGCTTAATTTTTGGAATTACAGTAAATAGTATTAACTTTAAAAAAAATTGAAACGCCCATAACTCAACATGATGATTTTTGCACTTACTGCCCTATGGTTTTCAAGGTGCGATATGCTTCATATCCAACTCAAATCAGATTCAGTCTGGACTATTGTGATTTTAGTTTATCAGAGAAACTTCTTGGATTTTCTAATACTTAGTTTCTGTTCATTATCGTTCACTTCTGTTTTTATATGTGATACATTTTAATCGTAATGTATTGTTATTGTAGGAATCATTTGCTGTAATAGGCGACTCTTCAACTGCTATGCGAGATCCATTTTTCTACCGCTGGCATGCGTACATGGATGACATATTCCAAAATCTAAAGGACAGATTGCCACGCTACACAGTCGATCAAGTAAGTATTTTAATTATATGTAGTTTTATTGTTTACTTTTGCACATTAATAATTACAACAATAAAACACATAGAATGAAGTATTTAAATTATATAATGAAAGAACAAAAAAAATTGCCAGACAGTTTGCTTCTTTCATTATATTAAAGGTCTGAATCATTCTGAACAAAAGTGCAGTGTCCTGTAGCTTATAATTCAGAGTTTATGCAATATAATACGAGAAAAACGGAGATTTTTTCATTACATATATTAGAAGCAAACCAATGCAAGGTAATGCTATCTCACATAAAAAGTCTGTTGATATGTATTCAAAATGTGGAGGTAGACACACCAAGATAACTAAACTTCAACGCAATTTATTATAATGACAGCTTTTAAGACTCAATCATGATGATGTACAACGGAAACTAAATTAAAATTAAAAAGGTCTACTTTTTTGTATCAAATCTGAGCGTTTAAGCTTGCATTTCCTCAACAAGTGCTGCTCCTTTTGTTTGCTGGAGCTGTTGAGAGAGATGAGAAACATTAGTTATGAGTGAGTGTGCTCTAATTGGTATGTGGCTATAGAACGGATGCTTTGATGTTGGTGATGAAGAAAAGTAGCATTATGAATAGAAATATAGACCAGCCAACCTAGCCATGAGCAGAAGGTGTTACCAGCCATATTAGGAACGGCTCTGAATTAGCGTTTGTGAAATGCAATTAGTTTATTTGCAATATTTGAGGTAGGTTGTTTTGAGGATGTCATAATACTCATTAGAAAGTTTATTTCTAGCCAAGTGTAGAAGCTTGGCTGGAGCGAATGGAACTTTTGTTTGGGGGAGCTTGGTGAGTACGTGCTGTCAGCGCCGACAAGGAGTCCCTATAGTTTGCTTAGCTGTGTTGTTGGTGCCAGCTATTGTGCGAAATCTTTTGCTGAGAGATTAGACTCTGTCCTTTATTGGTGGTATATTCGCAATTTGGTGAATTAGTGCTGACGGATAATCTGCACATTTCCTCATGCACTTTCTAAGGATTTTTCTTTCTGTTGACATAATGGCGTTGGTTTGGTGAGGATTTAATGACGAATAAACAATGCCAATCTCTGTGTCTATTTGATTGATTGTTGACTACATAATTCAGATAAGTCACGATTGATATGTTCTTGGAATAGTTCCCAATTAGCTTTACGATAATCTTACCTATAGGTAGCACTGATGGTTTGTGAAGATGAGGTTAAGTCAGTTTTGACTAGCAGTGACAAATGGCCAGAGGTTATTGAATCGCCAATAACACATTCATTGTCGAATGTATCCAGTACTCTATCAGTACTGAGGATGGTTACATCGTTAGAAATCAGATAGACTTCATAACAATTAACAAACGATTCCGTAACGCAATAATATCAGCCAAAACATATCCTGGAGCTGATATAAACTCTGATCATAATCCTCTTGTAGCCCAATTACGAGTAAGACTAAAAACCATAATCCAGAAACAGAATAACAAAAGATTAGATATGGATCAACTTAGAAATCCTGAGATAAAAGCCAAACTTACAAATAGCATTAATAGTAATGTTGCTTTAACAACCAACACTGATGATATTGAAAGAGACTGGATCAGCTTAAGGGACGCTATATGCAACGGTGCAAAAGAAGTAATTGGTGACTCCGAGCGGAAGAAGAAGAACGAGTGGATGACAGATGAAATATTACACCTTATGGACAGAAGGAGGGAAAATAAGAATAATCCCGAACAATATAAAGAACTGGATAGAACTGTCAGCAGAAAGATAAAAGAATCCAAAGAGAAATGGTTGCAAGAAAAATGTCAAGAGATAGAAGAGCTAGAACGAAGACACGATAGTTTTAACATGCATAAAAAAATCAAGGAGTTTACTTATACTTACAAGAAAAAACAGTTTGGTAGGTTAATAGACGAGAACAATAAACTTATTGTAGATAAAGAAGAACAGTTACAGACTTGGGCAATCTACATAAAAGATTTGTTTACGGATTATCGTCATATTTCTACGAACACTCTTGATCTGAATGGACCAAAAATATTGAAAAGTGAGGTGATAAAAGCTATAGATCAAACGAAAGATGGGAAAGCAACAGGATGCGATGAAATACCAGTCGAATTCTTAAAAGTTTTTAACGAGAACAACCTGAATGTAGTATTGGAACTGTCTAATAAGATATACGATACTGGTCAAATTCCATCGGACTGGTTGAAATCTACATTTGTGCCCCTTCCCAAGAAATATAATTCTAAGACGTGTAGTGAATATCGCCTTATAAGTTTAATGAGCCACACCCTTAAAGTATTTTTGCGTATTATCCATTCCAGAATACGAGCAAAATTAGAACACAGCATAAGTAAAACACAGTTCGGTTTTAGATGCGGTTTTGGAACTCGAGAACCCCTCTTTGCAATACAAGTTTTGATTCAAAAATGCCTGGATCAACAGAAAGATGTTTACGTCTGTTTTATCGACTATGAGAAAGCATTCGATACTATCAAACATGACAAACTCATAGAACTATTACGTCTTTCAGGACTTGACACTAAGGACATCCATATTATAAAAAATCTATATTGGAATCAAACAGCCTACATGAAGAATGGACATATGGTGAGTGAAAACATAAATATTTCTAGAGGGGTAAGACAGGGCTGTATTCTTTCGCCCCTGCTTTTCAACCTGTACACGGAACAAATATTTCTAGAGGCACTAGAAGAGTACAATGAGGGCATCAAGATTAATGGCGTACGAATAAGTAATTTTCGATATGCAGATGATACTATTATACTCGCCGATAACATCGAAGATTTACAGATGATGCTACATAGAGTTAATACAACTGGCAGCCGATTTGGACTGAAGATCAATAGAAAGAAAACTAAATTTATGGTGATCAGTAAAAAAAAATTTCAACATATCGACCTGCATATTGAAGACGAACGTATTGAAAGAGTACACCGATTTAAATATCTGGTATATACAGTAAATGACAAGTGGGACCCAGAAGTAGAGATTAAGATCCAAATTGAAATAGCAAGATCAAAATTCATCAAAATAAGAAAGCTCTTAAGCAACCGCAACCTAAGCATTAACCTCCGATGGCGCGCCACGAAATGCTACGTACTCTTTACGTTACTTTACGGCGTAGAAGGGTGGACGTTAACAGCAGCAACTATAAAGAAGTTAGCGGCTCTAGAAATGTGGCTGTATCGACGCATACTGAGAATACCTTGGACAGACAGAGTGACCAACACAGAGGTATTAAGACGAATGGGTAAAGAGGTGGAATTGTTAACAACTGTTAAAAGGAGGAAAGCGTCATACCTGAGCCATGTGTTCCGTAATGATAAGTACAGTCTGCTACAGCTTATCGTTGAAGGCAAGATTGAAGGTAGAAGAGGTTTGGGCAGAAAGAAGAAATCCTGGCTGAGAAACTTGAGAGAATGGTTTCAAATACCAGAAGCTGCGAACATAATTCATGCGGCACAAAACAGAGAAACCTATCGTATGATGGTCGCCAACCTTCGGTAGAAGACGGCACATAAAGAAGAAGAACTGAGGATATGATTGACTATGGACAGTGCACTATGATTAAAGAACGTAACTTCATTGTTGGTTATTCTTGAGAAGTGTAGCTCTATAATTTTATAGAAAATATTTAAATATATAAAGGTACCATTACTGGACGTTTTCTGAAGGGTCGGCATAAATAGAGATTTACTTACCTTACGGGATATTTTTTCAAAATGTGCATTTTGTTAAATTACTGTATTGTGCATCGGTCTCACCAATTCCTGAATACTCATCATATGCATAATCGATATTGAAATATTGAAAAGGTCCACCATAAACGTCTTTATTTATTTGTCGTTTAATTTATTTTATTCAAAGCCTTAATGATAGGTTTGATTTTCTGGCCACACTCCAGCAGCAGGAATATATATTCTTACTAGGAAAATCAGATCTGAAACTTTGTTTAATTTTGGTTGGCCAACTATTCTCTAATAAAGTTTGCTTTGGAGCTCAGAGAGCTATCTTTATACCAATATACCAATATATCAATAGACCAATATAAAATCGTAGTTTGGAGTTTTGAGTTTTAAGGCATTTTATAGTTTAAATACAATAAAAAACTCATTTTTTTCCACTAGCCCTGTAGCCTCTTCTTCTTCCTCTTCTCGTAGCACTACAACCCGAGGTGATTCTTGGCTGACTGCACAACTTGCATCCATCTTGAACGGTCGTCCAAAATAGTTGGGTCAGTGGGTAGCTCCATTGTTCTTAGATCTGACCATATATTGTCTCTCCATCGCATTCGTGGACGTCTTAAGTGCATTCTTTCTGTGGGGACTTTCTCCCATATTAACTTGACAAGGCGGTTATTAGGGAGTCTAAGCCAGACCAAATAGACGTTGGGATTTAATCTATTGGACTATGTCGCTCGCTCTATACATCTGCTTGACCTCAGCATTTGTTCTCATTCGGTATTGGTTGCTATTAATGTTGTGATAAGGCCAAAAGATCCTTCTGAGGATTTTTCTCTTAAATCATCTAAGTTTTCTTTCAGTTTCTTTATTCAGGGTCCACGTCGCACACCCATACGTGAGCACAAGTCTAATCACCGTTTTATATATTCTAATCTTTGATGTTCGTGTTAGGCTTTTAGATTTAATAGTATTGTGGAGGCTGCACCTACATCTGTTTTCTGCCTGAATTCTTCGTTTAATCTCTTCCGCGATATTGTTATCTGCAGTGATTGTTGCATCGAGATATTTAAAACTCTCCACTATTTCAAAGTTATATGGGTCTATTGTAACATGTTGCCCTATTCTATCTCGTCTCTTTTCTATGTTGATGTACATGTATTTGGTTTTCTCTTCGTTTACCCTTAAACCAGTTTTCTTTGCATCTACCTCCAATTTATTAAAAGTCTCCTTCACATTGGTAACTGTGTTTCCCACAATGTCAATGTCATTTGTGTATGCTAGCAGTAATTTTGGTTCTTTTACTGTCAGTAATTCTGTTTTAAGTTGTGCTGCTTTCACTACTTTCTCCAAGATGATATTCAAAAGGAGAGGTGACAGCGCATCTCCTTGTTTCAGGCCCCTGCTTATTTCAAAAGATCCCGAGAGTTTGTTACCTATCTGTACTCTGGATCTATAGCTATTCACACATAACTTAACAAGCTGGATAAGTTTTTTTGGAACTGAAAGTTCTGCTATTGCATTCCACATCTGATCCCTTTTAATGCTGTCATGTCGTACGCTTGCCGGGAATCTACGAAGAGATTATGGATAGTTCTATTGAATTCCCATCCTTTTTCAAGCAGCCGTCTTAGAGTAAAGATCTGATCTATGGTCGATATGTTTTCTGAAGCCGGCTTGGTATTCCCCCAAGTTGAAATCTTCTACAAACGTTGTCAGCCTACTTAATGGGATGTTTGATAATATTTTATACGCTGTATTAAGTAGGGAGATGCTCTATAATTAGATCACTTGGTTTTGCTTTCCTTTTTATGGATGAGGATTATTACAATTTCGTGCCATTTTGTTGGTATTTTCTCTTTGTTCCATATAAGTGTTATTAGTTTGTGTTTTTGTCTATGTGGAGTTTCTCCTACGTACTTAAGGAACTCAGCCAGTATATTGTCAGAGCCTGTAGCTTTTCCGTCCTTAAATTTGTTAATTGCTTGCAACATTTCATCTATTTTGGGGTCCTCTACCGGTAGGTCCACCTCAAAATATATATTTTCTTCATGTTCTTCCTTTTGATGTATGTTTAGTAAAGTCTTGAAATATTCTTGCCAGGTTTGGAGCAGTTCTTTTTCATTTAATATTAATTCATCATTTTTATTAGATGAGTACAGACATGTATCTAGGTCTGAATCCTTTCTTTTCGTTTGACACTGATTTGTAAAATGCTCGACTATTTGACTGTTGCCTATTACTTTTCATTTTTTTTTATATTTTTGTTGTTCGTACTTCCTTTTTTTCTCACTAAATAATTTTCTTGTTTCTCGGCGTGAAGTTGCATAGTTTTCTTTATTTTCGCCTGTTCCTTGTTGAAGCATAATGTTTCGTTTTATCTGTCTGTCGTATAGTTTTCTTTGTCATTCTCTATCAGACAATTTCCTTGTTCCCTTCCTGCTTTTTCCTATTATTAGTTCTGCTGACTCCGTAATTAATTTTTCCATTTGTTGCCTCAGCCTTTCGACATCATTGCTCTAGTCTACTGTATTTAGATGCTGTTTAATTTCTTGTTTGTAATTTTCACGGATTTCCTTATTTTGCATTTTCTTGATGTACCACTGTCCCAATGCTGTGTTGGCCTTAGGTTTGTCTGAAGATATATTTTCAGAGAAATCCTGTAGCCTCCCCAAATAAAAAATAAACTAGTAGCTTAATTATCTTCTTCTTTAAGTTCCATCTTCTATCGAAGGTTGGAAATCATCATGGCTATGCGGACTCTGTTGACTGCCGCTCTAAAAAGTTCTGCACTACTGCATTCAAACCATTCCCTTAAGTTCTTAAGCCAGGATATTCTTCGTCTTCCCACATTTCGCTTTCCTCGGATTTTGCCCTGCATAATAAGTTGTAATAATGCGTATTTTTGCCCTCTCATCACATGTCCCAAGTACTCAAGTTTTCGTCTTTTAATAGTTAATATTATTTCCGCCTCATTTCCTATCCTTCTAGTTACTTCCATGTTTGACATTCTTTGAATCCATGATATTCGTAGGATTCTTCTGTAACACCAAAATTCAAAGGCGGCCAGCTTATTCAGATGAACTTGTTTTAGTGTCCAAGCTTCCAGACCATAAAGAAGAGTAGAAAACACGTAACATCGAAGCATTCTCAGGCATAGTTCTAACCTTATATCCCGACAACAAAGAAACTTTTTAAGTTTAATAAATGATGTACGTGCTATTTCAATACATGTCTTAATTTCTTTGGTTTGGTCTACATCTGATGTTATCCATGTTCCTAAATATTTATAGTTATTAACATTTTCAATTGCAGTATCTTTAATAGTCAATTGGATATTTGCATGTGCAGATTTATTGATGATCATGCATTTAGTTTTCTTTAAATTTATCTTCAGTCCGTACTCATGACAGCGTTCATTAAGGCGTTGCATTAGGTTCTGTAAATCATTGTTGTTATCCGTAATTATTACTGTATTGTCTGCAAAACGTAAGTTATTCAAAACTTCTCCATTGATAGATATACCTTCTATTGAGTCTGAGAGCGCTTCTTGAAATACCGCTTCACTGTAGACATTGAAAAGTAGTGGGGACAGCACGCAACCCTGGCGGACTCTTCTCTGTATTTTGATATTTTCGGTGTACTGGCTGTCAACTCTTACCTTGGCAGTTTGATTCCAATATAAATTAGATATAATTTTCAGATCACGACTGTCAATATTTTTGCTTTTTAATATATCTACAAGCTTTTTATGTTGAACTTTATCAAATGCCTTTTCAAAGTCTACAAAACATAAGTACATATCCTGATTCATGTCCATGCATCTCTGAGCCAGCACATTCAAGCCGAACAAAGCATCTCTTGTACTCATACCATTTCTAAAACCAAATTGTGTGTCACTAATCTCATATTCAAGAGTTTTAACAATTCTGCTGTGAATTATTTTCAAAAATGTTTTAAGTGTGTGACTCATTAAAGCTATTGTTCTGTGGTCTGAGCAAGTTGCTGAACTTGGTTTTTTGGGAATTGCTACACAGGTTGATTGCAGCCATTGTCTGGGGATTGTGGCAGTCTGATATATTAGATTAAAGCGTTCAACCATTACATCAATAACATCTTCATCGATGAGTTTTAATATTTCGATGGGCACCTCATCTGGTCCAGTAGCTTTACCCTCTTTTGTGTTTTTGATAGCTTAATTATACATAAGCCTAATACCACACCTACCTTTTTTGAGGTTATATTCAGATCTTTCTTTTAAACAAACCAAATTACCTACCATTAGCCTACACATCCAGTAAATCTGTAGCTAAGCTAACAGTTAAATGTCGAGAAAAAAAAATTTATTCTTAATTTACGAAAACTAAATTAATAAATTAAAAAACCATCTTCTGTAAATTAATTAAGATACGTTTATTTTAATGACTATTTCGGTTTATAGTTGAATTTTGCTAACGTCACCGTACAAGACGTTCAAGTCCAAACCCAGGGTGCCCCTGTTAATACACTCCAGACATACTGGCAACAATCCGATTTAGATCTCTCAAGAGGCTTGGACTTTCAACCGCGCGGAGCTGTTCTTGTAAGATTTACACATTTGCAACACAGACCATTCACCTACAAGATAACTGTCAACAATGCCACCAACCGTCCCACTGTTGGGACTTGTAGAATCTTCATGGCTCCCAGGTTCGACGAAAGAAGGAACCCATGGCTTTTCAGAAATCAAAAGAATATGTTTATCGAGTTGGATAAATTTAGAGTTAATCGTAAGTATAATAAAATACAATCATTATTATTATTATTGTTGTTATTGAAATGCTGTAAAAGATCTTTTTAAATTTTAGTAAAACCTGGAAGTAACGCAATATCCAGAGACTCAAGCCTATCTTCAGTGACCATTCCGTTTGAGAGAACTTACCGAAACTTGAATACAAGTAGACCAAGTGGAGGAGATGCTTTGGCTAGATTCAATCTTTGTGGATGTGGGTGGCCCGAAAATATGTTGATACCTAAGGGAAATGATCGCTTTGAAGCAGAATTGTTTGTTATGATTTCGGACTATGTTAACGATAGAGTAAGTAATAAAAAAAAAGTTAAAAAAGGTATCATGCAAAAATTAATTAATTAATTAAAACATAAAGAGTAGTATGCGGTTGGCACCAGACAAGTATTTGAATTGAGTAGTTATAAAGTTACAGAAGAATAGTTGCAGATGGTAACCATATTCTTGGTAACTGCGATAAGAAACCAAAAACTTAAAACAAATATGACTTTCGAAACAGTTTGAAATATAGAACAGTTATGAAATAAGTTAAACAAAGATGGGAATAAACCATTAGAAAATTATTACAAGTAATTGGTACTTCCAAGTAAATCAAGAATATTTAGCGAAAAAGGCGACAACATGAAGGATCTAAAAACAATAATATAAGAATTTTTTAAGAAGGAAAGCAAAAAGAACAACATTACCACAATTATTTTAAATGTATCAGGAGCTTTATGTGTCAGGAGATACATAAAATATCTCGTAATAATTTTTGCATATTCTATTAGAATTCGTTTAAATTATTTCTATTGCTCTTCTAAATTCTATATTGTTTTATTTCTTCTGTTGTTTTAAATTTGTAATATTTTTTGCTATTTGATATTTTTTGGTTAGTCTCATTATTAGTCTTAATTATTTTTAATTTATCAGGAGCTTGATGTATCACGAGATACATCAAATATCTCCTGATACTTTTTGCATTATCCATTAGAATTCTTTCCATTGCTCTTCTAAATTCCACTTTGTTTTATTTCTTCTGTTGTTTTAAATTTTTCATTAGCTTTAAGTCAATATTTTTTGCTATTTTCTAGTTTTCTTAGTCTGATTATTAGTATTAATTATTTTTAATTTATCAGGAGCTTGATGTATCAGGAGATACATAAAATATTTCCTAATAATTTTTGCATATTCTATTAAAATTCTTTCCATTGCTCTTCTAAATTCCACTTTGTTTTATTTCTTCTATTCTTTTAAAATTTTCGTTAGCTTAAAGTCAATATTTTTCGCTATTTTCTAGTTTTCCTAGTCTCATTATAAGCCTTAATTATTTTTAATTTATCAGGAGCTTGACGTATCAGGAGATACATCAAATATCTCCTAATACTTTTTGCATATTCTATTAGAATTCTTTTATATTCCTTCCATTGCTATTCTAAGTTCCACTTTGTTTAATTTATTCTGTTCTTTTAAATTTTTTATTAGCTTCAAGACAATATTTTTTGTTATTTTCTAGTTTTTTTAGTCTCATTTTGGTATAGTTCTTACTTTCTTCATGATTTTTAAATTTGTTTAATTTAGCTTTTACCAGAGTTGTATTTTGTATGCATTTTTATTTGAATGCTTTTAGTACTTCTATCTTCTACTACAGATGTACATTTAACATCAAGATTTTGGTACCAGGACGTATTTCCTGGTATGCCGGTCAGATAGTAAAGCGGGCTAGGCGGCCGATTCTCATTCGCTTCACTGTCAAATGGTTCAGTGGATGTGGGTTCGAGCCCCAGCTCGGTGTAAAGAAAAATAAAAAGACTAACGCAGCAGTTTAAAGTTCTAGATGAATCTGCGGCTTAGACTAGAATAGCTGCTGTCTGATCGGCCTACGGTAGAGCAGCACAGCAAGAGATTAGGATTTGTGTCTCGGTGATACTCCTCCATAGATTCCTACCGGAAGGGCGTGGCGCCTAAATACCGGTATATATATATATATATATATATATATATATATATATATATATATATACGTATTTCCAATTTTTTATTGTTTGTTATGCAAAACATATTGTTTACTTTATTTCTATTTAGGTTTTTTCATTCTAAACTCCCTAATCATCGGTTCTATTCTTGAATTCCAATCTCGCAATTCCTCTTCAATATCTTAATTTAACTTAAAGTGTATGAACCATAATTTTATTATTATTATCGAAATTTTAGATTGATCAAGACGTTGTTGGACAACCGGGAGATGCGGGAAGCTTCTGTGGCATTAAAGACAAACTGTATCCCGATCGTCGATCTATGGGTTATCCGTTTGATAGACAACCAAGAGCTGGCGTTGATACTCTTCAGCAGTTCCTTACACCGAACATGAGAGTCAGAAATGTAATTATTCAATTTAATAATCGAGTCCTTACACCAGGCGAAAACTTTTAATTAGTCAATAATATTTATTGATAATTGTTAAACGTTTTATAAATGCGTACTATTGTATTACTTTTTGTAATAAATCTAAACCTTGCTTTTTATTGTGTAATTTATTGAATTTTTTTACCTTTGTACTAAAGTACTGCCGTACTTTGTTAATGGACATCCTTTAAACTCTGTAACCTCACACAACGATCTCGGAGTGATAATTAATGGTGACTTAAATTGGTCTGATCACATAGTGTCGGTGTGTAAACGTGCTAACTCGAAACTGTTTTTGATCTGTAAATGTTTTGCACGCATATCTCTAACCTCTGTTAGTAAACTTACTCAATATACGTTAGACCTATTCTTGAGTTTGCCGGACCAGTGTGGAATCCAGATCTCAGTCGCGATAAAATCCTACTTGAAAACGTTCAGCGTAAAGCCACAAGACTGGTATACGGTCGTGTAAGACCTAACTATGAAGATAGGCTATTCATGGCTCATCTTACGACAGTCGAGCAGCGACGTCTTCGAGGTGACCTAATTATGTCCTTCCGTATTTTAAAACATAATTTTGGGAACCTAAACACCATATTCATTTTGAATCAAGACGAAAGATTAAGAGACCATCGATACAAATTAAAGAGGGAACAAACTGCTGCAAGGTCCAGGGTGAACTTCTTGCCAAACAGAATCTTTAATATCTGGAACAATTTGGATCAAGACACCGTATCGGCAGCTAGTGTTAACATCTTTAAAAATAAACTTGATAGCGCTTTATTTTTTTTTATAGGATAGGATATTTTTTCTCGGACAGCATTATTTATTTATTTATTGTGTCACAATTCAATTTTCGTTAATTGTTTAACTGTACTTAACTTTATAATTAGTATTAGTTTTATAAGGATATATTTTATTTTTATTTATTTTTGCTTTTTGGGCATAATAGGAGCTCGCTCCTCTGCTCATATTTGTTAGATGATAATAATAATAATAATAATAATAATAATAATAATAACATATACCAACAACAACAACCACAAGTGAGCCAAACAACAACAAGAGCTCCACTTGCTGAAGGTGCTGCGCTGGAACATCAGCCGGCGCTCACTCAAGCGGGACGACCGAGGCAGCGTATGAAGTGGACAGTGTCCATAAACGAAAATATTTTGCGCTTTTATTATAAGGTGACAAACCTCGGTCAAGAAACAATCGGCTATCGACAACAACTGTATGCCGAATTTTGCAGGGAGTACCCAGAAATCCAAGTATCTGAACAAAGAGTAGCAGATCAATACCGGGTAATTTTAAGAAACAATCTTATTCCAGAGAATAGACGCGACACCATCAGACGCGAAGTCGAACGGGAGATTTATAACCAAGAGCTAGTTGTGAATCAAGACCATAATGAAGTCCCAAATGAGCAGATTCCTGAGATTCTCATACAAGAAACTCAACCTAATAATACACAGCAGGACAATAACGAGTTGCACGATAGTCTGGCAAACGAAATGGCGCGCGCCGTACAAGAGTTTAGTGGAACAAACCCACTTAGCAGACCACCGCTACCAAAAATAAACTCTTCCAAGAAACTAGGAGCGCTGTTACAAATTGTGAACACTGAAGTCCTACCCAATTATATCACAGAAGCCCACACATTGGAATATTTGCATATGCTGATTTACTGTGCAGCAACAGCAATTGCTAATGTTATGGGCATTAAGATCAGAACACGACGGGGGTACCAACATCGGAAGGACTGGTAACAGAATAGCACCTGGGAAAAACGACTGCTGAATAAGATCGAATTACTGCGTAGGGACATTGGACAAATAACAGAGTACATAAGAGGAGTGAGAAGTAGAAAAATCATCAAAAGAGCTGAAGAAATACAGTTTAACACTCTAAGACACTCACGATATGATCCAGAAAACAACACACCTCAACAATGCCTGGACACATTAAAACAAAAACTATCTGTTTACTCAGGCCGCCTGAGGAGATACAAAGTTAGTAACAACCGGAAATGCGACAATATACTTTTTGAGCAAGCAGAGAAAACTTTCTATAGGAAACTTAATTCCACTGTAGAAAACGCAAATAAATCCTACCCAAGCCAAGAAGAAATTCATGAGTTTTGGGGAAACCAACTTTCGACGCCAGCTACCCATAACAACAATGCTGGATGGATTGAAGACACCACGAACAAATGTCAACACTACAGGAATATTCCTTATGAACCTTTTACCACTGAAGAAGTCTCGAACATTATCAAAGAGCTTCATAACTGGAAATCTCCTGGACCGGACGGAGTTCAAAACTTCTGGCTAAAGAAGTTTTGGAGTGTTCATGAGCTTTTAACAGTATTTATTAATAATATTATTTCTAATTCACAGGAAATACCATCATTCCTTACTCAGGGAACCACTTATCTAATACCGAAGGATCAAAATAACACCCAAGATCCAGCCAAGTACCGCCCAATTACTTGTCTTCCAACTTTGTACAAATTGGTCACATCCTGTGTGGCCCGGCGTATCTACCAACACTGTGCTCTGAACAATATCATAGAGCCCCAACAGAAAGGATGCGCTAAGGGCTCCATGGGATGCAAAGAACAACTTATTATCGACTCAGTCATTTCTAACCAGGCATACACCAAAAAAAGAAACCTTTTTACTGCCTTCATTGACTACAAGAAGGCTTTTGATTCAGTGCCGCATGAATGGCTTATAGATATATTAAAAATATATAAAGTCGATGATAATCTCGTGACCTTTTTGAAGCATATAATGGCAGAGTGGAAGACTAAAATTCACCTTCAAATACCTGGTGAAATTAATATCGAAACTGAAGATATCCCTATTAACCGGGGCCTTTTCCAAGGGGACTCGTTGAGTCCACTTTGGTTCTGCCTAGCGATGAACCCACTATCTCAGCTGCTGAACTCTACTGACTCAGGATTTAGCATCAAAAATAACAACACCGTTGTAGCGAAGCTTAATCATCTGTTGTATATGGATGATTTAAAATTAATGGCTTCCACCCGAAACCACTTAGATGAGATGCTAAAAACTGTAGAAAATTTCTCAAATGACATCAGTATGCATTTTGGACTAGACAAGTGCCGTATACTAAATATAGTCAGAGGAAAGGTTCAGCCTGGAGGTTTCGATATGCAAGATGGCCAAAACATCGAGGCAATGGGTGAAAATGATATGTACAAATATCTCGGAGTAAAACAAGCACGTAAAATTGACCATAAACAAATGAAAACGGAACTAACTTCGGAGTTCGTGCGAAGGGTAAGACAACTAAATCGGTCATATCTTAATAGTAAAAATTTGTTTAAGGCATTAAATACGTACGCCTGTTCCGCGCTGAGCTACTCATTTGGTATTATAAAGTGGTCAAAAACGGATATAGAGGGTCTTCAGCGGAAAGTAAGAACACTTCTCACAAAGGCGCAAAAACATCATCCACGTAGTGCAGTAGAGAGAACAACATTACCGCGGTATCAAGGGGGAAGAGGACTTATGGATATAGGTGAGCAATTAGATAAACAAATTGCTAATTTAAGATCTTATTTTCAGGTACAGGCTGAGACATCTACTTTACATCGAGCAATTTGCGCAGTAGATGATACGACGCCGCTTAAACTGAGGGAACAAGAAATGCGCATAAACCACCTAACCCAGCAAGAAAAAATGCGCACCTGGATGAGTAAACCTCTGCATGGGCGACATCTCAATGAGATCAACCAAGAATATGTAGACAATACAGCGTCGAACTATTGGTTGACATCAGGAAAGATGTTTCCCGAGACTGAGGGTTTCCTACTTGCCATTCAGGATCAGGTTATTCCAACTAAAAATTACCTGAAATATATTGTTAAAGATCCTCAAGTACAAAATGACAAATGCCGATATGGATGCCAAGCCCAAGAAACCATCCAACATCTTACCGGTGGCTGCCAGGCATTTGTCGGTACTGATTATAAAGAACGCCATGACTCAGTAGGAAAGATTATCCACCAAGAACTAGCTGACAAACTGGGACTTCTCCATACCGACCATCTTCCTTATTATCAATACACTCCTGATAGAATGCTTGAAAATGACAACTACAAGCTATACTGGGACCGCACTGTGCTTACAGACCAACCAGTGGCCCATAATAGACCGGATCTCATACTAGTTAATAAACTTACTAGACAAACAACACTTATTGATGTGGCGATACCCAACACCAATAATTTAGTTGTTAAATACAACGAAAAGATCGCCAAGTACAGAGATCTAGAAATACAAATCAGGAGACAATGGAGAATGGAAAGTACCCAGACACTACCTATTGTTCTATCTACTACTGGTGTTATTCCCAAAAACCTCCTAGCGAACATAAAACAACTAGGTCTAAATGAACATCTTTATAAGGCCATGCAGAAAGCTGTACTCCTCGCGACGTCCAGATGTGTACGAAAATTTTTGGGAGATACTCCAACATACCAAGTCACCTAGGACTCGATAACATGGAAAGAGTCCCACCAGAGCTCAATCCTTTTGATACCGTAGGTATCTGGGATGAGTGAATTTTCCCCTTAGAGGGAGTGTGAGCCGTATGGCTAAATCTGGATAATAATAACCTGTGGGAGTTTTTTATCAGTTCTTCTATCAGGCGCGGCCCCCTGCGAATGGGGGATGCTCTTTGGGTATTCTTAGAACCGATACCCAGAGGGTAACAGGAATACCTGTCGTGGAACAAAAACTGACACCTGGCAGTAGGTATAAAATGCACACCCATGAAAATGGAGACTAATAATTATTTATGTTTAGGGTCGCTGCCTGGGGATCGCCAGGGCACGTCTGGAGCCGGCGCTGGACGTGACAGCATGCGGGACGTCGGTGGCAGGGTATTGAGGAGGCGGGCCCCTGTCATACAATCAGCTACAGCCCAACAACAACAACAACAACCACAAGTGAGCCAAACAACAACAAGAGCTCCACTCGCTGAAGGTGCTGCGCTGGAACATCAGCCGGCGCTCACACAAGCGGGTCGACCGAGGCAGCGCATGAAATGGACTATGTCTATAAATGAAAACATTTTGCGCTTCTA